CAACAATTCTTCATCAGACACTCTGTTAAAATCAAAAATCTCCAAAATTAGAAAAATGAACAACAACCTCTGCAATAAGTACAGGAAATTTGGATTTAGGTGTGCCTTACTTTTCGAGACAATCATTTATGATATCACTTCCATAGTGGGAGGGAAGTTTGCTGCCTGCAAAAGGAAGTGCACAGAGTTTGTATTTTTTTAAGATTGCTGATTCTTACGTAACACGTAAAGCTAATTTTCAAAAGGTTAGTAACCTGCATGTATTGGAAATAGTGTAAAGTATTTTGTATCTGAAGCAAAAATCACTGAAGCAAAAAATAACATTACAAAGACAATCTTTTACATGAGTTGACTACACAATTAGAGGACTAGAAAAACAGGAATTAGCAATTACTAATTGGCCCAAAGGGACAATAAACAATCTACTGAAAGAAACGTGTTTACATTAGTAATGTGACATCAGGGCATAAAAATAAAATCAGAACACTACACCTTGGAGGGTTTTCTGTGTCTAAACAATGGGTCCCTTTACTGTCTCCAAGTTGAATGATTCTGTCTAAGTTCCTCTGCCTTTGCAAAGTGTTTTTTCTTGCCTCTTGGCTGTGATTACTGAGGTGAGAAACACATAAACAAGGAGTTTGCTGTTATCTGGCCGATCATAATAAAACACAGCCTACTCCCCCCTTCCTCTTCCTGTTGGGAGACTAATGGGAAAATGAGCCTCTGTGGAGTTTAGACTATTTTGTAATTAGAACGACCACCTCATTGCTTTGGCAGGTTGACCTTTGTGACCGCTGTGTTCGTGACAGGCTGTTTTAAGCTGTCTTTAGATTCTTTTGTGTTTTTCTGCGTAAAAAGATATGGCAGTGGGGGATCACCTTGGAAGGTGAATAGAAGTAATGCTCGCAACAAGAGAGCCTTTAATCTGAATCAATGGAACTTTGACTCAGTTTTTCTGCAAAGATTTCAACTATGTAGGAGTCTTTGTTAATTCTGGTGGCTCGCACTAGAGCAGTGGTTTTGGTTGGCATGATCCAAATGACTGAGAATTTGAAAACTTTTTTTTTTAAGCATTCATGCCTGCCATGCAAACCATGAAAGACTGGTATGTTTGACCTTTGTTGATGCAAATGGAAAGAACTTTTTGTAAATACCAGCCAATCCGATTTTCACTGAAGCTGCATGCTTCATTAGTATCCTGAGATTGTCTGACTAACAAATTCTCTTCTTACTCGGGTTCATTTTCTACTTTCAAATTTTGAGATTTGTTTGAGCAATTTTTTTTGTCAAATTGTTTAGAATTAATTATCAAAGTTGGATATCTTAAATTCCTTTGGCTTTTTTGTAATTTTTGTTATTTAGTTAAAATGACTAAAATGACTATTTCTTTGAAGGTATCTTCAATTATCAGTATCATATATCTTGTATTAGTGTGTCTATGTTTAAAATCTTAACTGACTCCTCCCGGTCAAAACAGAGAAGATGGAATCAGCCTCAGTTTGTACATTTGACCACATTTCTACAACAAAAATCTCTTAGATTTGAATAGCTTTTAAGATCCAGTAAATGTGTCAGCTGCAGTGGAGCCCAACGAACAGGATGGGTGTATTTTTGAACAAAGAGAGTGGTATCATTTTCAACAGATATTGTAGTCCAAACAGCCTTTTGGGATGTTTATATACCATACACTGACATTGCAATAATTACATATTTGTTAAATATTGTGCAGCTAAACAGATTTTTAGATTTCTCTCTACAACAGCTGCAAACGCCTAACATGTAAAAAGAGATGGTTATCTAAAATCAGACAAAGAAATAGTCATACTTCTGACCCCATCATGTTTCCTCTGTCCTGGTCACATTTAACATGGCCAATAACATGACCAATGTTACACACCCTATTCAGAGACCTTAAGGACCAGCACCAAATACCCTATATAATCATTCTATGACCCCTTTAACCTTCTGACTGTTGGTGCAGGCAAGCTTAGATAAGTATCTGTTTTTGTAGTAACCTCCTGATTTAATAAAGTCAATAAACAGTTCCTTTAGTTGAATTAAATTGGTCTCTTATCTTTCCTTTTTTTTTTTTTTGCAAGCAGCTTTTAGAATTGTCCCTCTGTGCACTTTAGATTAATGTCCCTTAGAAAAAAGCTAAGGATAACAATTTTAGATGTTCTGAGTCACTTACATTTACTTGCAGAATTAAAATTGTCTTCTCTTTTGGCTTTCAAGGGATAACTAGACATTTTTTTCAAGTATACACTCGAAAAAGAATCTAGAAATATGTATGAAATTCTTAAATTAAGTGTATTTACCCTTCATTTGAATAGGTAAATGAGATAGTTTGCCAATGGAATGAGTATTTTTATTCTTAAAATAAGATAATTAGATAATATGCACTTGAAATAAGACAATGCGATTGTGTTTTCTTACTTTAAGTGTAAATTGTCTTGTTCCATTGGCAAAATGTATATTTTACCTCCTCAATCCAAGAACAAATTCTAAGAAAAAATGACTTATCTAGATTTTGAATTTTTCCAGTGTATATGTTCAGTGGAATGTTCACTAATGAGAACTGTCAATACCTTTTGTGCTTTTTTGTCAATCCTGAGTTAGTTTCAATATATATGAACAGTTCCTTTATTGGGAAAAAATTTATTAGACTTTTAAACATTTATTTCTCTGTGCAAAACAGGATTTTACACAAATAATTAAAATAATTTTCTCAAAGATGGTCTTATGTAAAGACAAAAAAGATACTGCTGCTGATAACCTAACATTTTCAATAAAAACTACTGTCATGTTTACTCTTTTATACGTAATTTTTGTGTGGATTAAGCAGACAAATGATAAGCAATCATCAAATTTAGCAGTTTTTAAGCAAAAAAGCAACAGGATGCCCTTCATTAGAGTCCTGTCACATCTTGTCGATTTAGACAGCCTATGTCCGACATCCCAGAATTTCCTAAAAAAATGGCATACGCTGTATACATAGCTTATTCCTAACAAGTCTGGAACTTGTGTCCAACGACAGCCTAACTTAACGCATGGCAGCATAATGCCCAAGAAATCTCTCAAGCCAGTGTCCTGAGGGGGGCAGCAATGCGCTAGGAGGTGCCCAATCTGCATAAAAAGATTGATTTGATCCCGGTATTAACCAAGCAGCTGTTTACCGCCTGCCAAAAAAAAAAAAAAAAGAACAAATATAAAGAAAGTAAGAAGGTTTGCAGTCGCATCAGATTCAGCGTCATGTCTGCAAGTTTGTTTGTCATGGCCGTGGGCATGAACACCGGGAGGATCCATCACACTTACCTTCATGCTCACCTTATGATGGGGATGAAGTCTGGAGGAGATCTGACGGTCTCCTCCTGCGAACCCCCTTTTATACCAAAACGCTGCCAATACGCCATTAAACAGTATCTGTAAGTTAGAAACACGTTCAGCAGTCATCTGGAGCACATCAAATATGTTGATATGCGTTGGGGATAAGTTCTTGAGAAGTTACACGTAAGTTAGGCAAACCTTACTCATTGGTTTTTCGATAAGCTGGGCATGACACCTTATGAGGAACTTACACCTAACATATGTCAACGATCAAATAATTTACCTGTAACGTATGCCCCATGTATGACATACGCACTTGCTGTATGTCAACGTGTGCCAGCATGTTTCAGCCTATTTCAGCATGTTTCTCATAACCTATACAAAACTTATCCATAACTTTTCCAAAAACGCTGGCATACGTTTCCATACTTTCATTTATAAGGGGGCAAAAGCCTTCTTTCAGCCAGCTGATTGGCAGTGTTTGCAACAGGTGGGAAAAGGCGATGCTGCACAACTCTTTGCTCGAAGCAGCTGGATAATAATCAGGCTCTCATCATCATCAGATCAGAAGTGAACATTATGATGGAAACTGCACTGCTACTAATGATTGCTTTCCCTTTTTTAACATAAAACTACACCATCTGCTAGTTTAATGTAAAATGTTTTTCTTTTTTCTTAATTTTGAACAAGAGACAATAAATCACAGCTAGGTGAGACCTCACTGAAATGAAAACCAGTTGAAGAAAGTGCTGAGTCCTCTCTCAAAGGGATGGCCATGTGTGAGTTTTGTATCTGTGGGTGGGGTTCCCCACCAGGAGAGCACAGATGGCCCCGTCCCAAAAACACAGGAAGCTGCTGGGTGGGTTTAGAGCCACTGTTTTGCTCCAAGAGCAGAAGGACCGTGAGAACAAGTGTTTTTCATGTTCTGCTCATGTTATTAGCCATGGACAGATTTTTATCCTCTGCAGAACTAAAAAAAATATAATTTTACTTTAAATTTAGCTAACAATCCCCAACAATGCATTTAGATCCACTATTTTGATCTGAATATGTGAATAAGATCATGTTAGAGGGAAAGTAGAGGTCTGAGGACAATTGAGGTGAGGAGGAAATGGTGACACCCTGAGAGAAAAAGAGAGGGAAGGGCTTTAGTTGTAGCCCTCTGAAAGAGGGGGGGGGGATGAGAGACCTGGGAACACGAGAGAACTTGACTCAGGTTGCATCCAACAAAGAGTTTGTTAGAGCAGACATGTGGGAAGATTAAAGGACTGCAGCGACCAGGGCTGAAATGTTAGAAAAGAAGGAAAGGAATGACCAAGGAAAAGAGAAGGTGATTGATGACAGATCACAAGAAGAAAAATATTTTATCAAGCCAGAAGCTGAAGAATGAAATTTGGTGGAATCCAAGAAAGGAAATTTACAAAACCTGGACATAAACCCTGGCGAGTGTCACCTTTCAGTTGAGCAGGTATCCAGGATTACATTGTATACAGAGACTGGTGCCTTGTTTGGCTAAAGGATTAAAAAAATTAAATAAAATTTAACACAAATGTTGTTGCTGAAAATATTTTGTTTGCCAAAATAAGACATCTCGGAGAGTCATAATTGGTCTGGTGAGTTATTGTATGCTTTGAATTTTGAGGTAACCTGGTGTTGGTTTGCTTTCTGCACAGGACAACCTGAGTGTTTTTCTGCGAGGCTGTGAGGAGTTAGGACTGAAAGGCTCCCAGCTGTTTGACCCTGGAGACCTGCAGGACACATCGACACGTCCTGCTGCAAAGTAAGACTCAAAGCTTTGGTGTCTCTCTCCTTCTCCTACCATTTATGTTGCAGAGCCAATGATCCCAGTTTTCACTACATGAGGGATGTTTAGCTTTTACTGTCTTTGCACAAAGACACCTGAGTTATGTAAATAGATATTAAGGAATACAGTTGTTGAGACATGTATTGAAATCCCTGGTAAATGTATCAAATGCCTCAATTAGGTTAAATTAATCTTTTATGATAGTAGTTTAACTGTAAAACAAAACTGTGGGATTCCAAAAAAAGAAAATTAAAAACAATTCACTGGAATTTGTTTGCAAGTTTGAAGACGTTTCGCTTCCGATCCAAGAAGCTTTTACAATTCAAAATGTCAGGAATAGCGTTGAGTTCGAGGTTTTATACAGTAGCCCAACAAAGCCTTGTTTTTTGCTTTGAAAATATGCAAATTGAAATTGACAAAAAAGGGTCTGCCCCTTTTTAATTTTCTTTTTTTGGAATGACTATGACCTGGATGACTGAGAGTCTTCACCAGCAAAGCCATGTGATGAAATATTTTACTTTGAGTACGAAAGGAAGAAAAACACTGGTTAAGATATAATTGTTGCCATTTTGCTGGCAATTTAATATTTAGTTGCTCAAATTTCCTATTAAACAAATCTGACTGATGTGTATTTTTATGGCTGCGTTGTTTACTTTTAAAAACTTGATCATAAATTATATTTTCTGTTTTTTGTATTAGAAAATTTGACTTAAGGTATATTTTCATTAATCCAAAATCAAAGACAAGGTTTTTTATTTCACTTTAAATCAATGCAAAGAAAATGAATGATGTTTAAATTATACCCCTGCAGTACGTCACATATTAAGCTTGTGTTTCCGTGTATCTTTTCCAACGCTAACAACTTTTGTATTTATCTCTATTGGAGGAAACACATTTTAACAGCCTAAGGTCATAGAAAAAATGTTTTCACATTTCCATAAAGTTGAGTTTTTTTGTAGTTTTTTTTTACATATGTTACTTTCATCCTTGAAGTGGAGCTAGCTCTTAATAAATACATATTAGACATTGAAATGACTAAGCATTTACATACAAATTTATTGATTATATTTCCACTTTTACAATGCATTTACTTTATTTCCTCTTTTTATTACTTTCTTAATATTTAGGGCTTCACATTTCCCAGAATGCTAGAGATTGAAATGTAGTAGATTTTCTCCAGAGGGTCATTGATTTTCAGAATCAAAATCGTTAAGTTTCAGATTTTTATAGGTTGCTGTTTTTTTTCGATGAGTGGAATTTTTTCTAGATCGACAACCACTAACTGTGGAAAATTCTATAAACAAATATTCCATAGCTTCGAATCAGTAGCACTCCAATTTAATCTTGTAACATTTATTTTCATTTTTTTAATACATTTTGGAGTAATAAAACAGAACTTTTGGGCTTTGGAACTTGGCTGACTGTATTTTGTGCTCATGCTCACCTGACTGGAATAAAATCTGTTTTTCTGAGAGTTCGATCTGCCAGTAAACGGTCAAAGCCATGTCAGAGGGAAAATCAACTGATTCAGGTCACCAGCTGAGAAATCAATGCATCAATAACTTAACAACCATATTCAGAGTTTATTGTGTTGCTGCTTTTTCTGATATACTAATGATCTATTTTAAGCATATGGTTGGGGATTACACAAAATAAAGAAAGGCAATGTATGGCTTTGATTTATATGGCCTGAATGCTGCTTAGCACTTCAGCTGTGTGTGAATAGAAAGCTTGTTAAACACTGATTGTGCTTTTCTTTCCTCCACCTCTTGCCGTCAGTCATTCTGCATTGCACAATGATTGCAGTTCATTGCAACATAAATTAGTAAATGACAGGGAATGGAAGTTTGTACAAGCCTATCAATGCAGAAACAATGGCATATCTGTTGGAGACAACTGGTCTCTGTCCAAGTACAACAAAAGACTTTGCATCACTCACTCGGCCGTGGCTCCTGCTTTGTTGCTTGGAAACAAAGCCAAGTGCATGTTATGTTTTATACTAATATCAGAGTTTGTGTGAATGTGTGGGTGTCTCTCTTTACGTTTAGCATGTTCTGTTCTTATGCTAAATGTGTTTAACAAAGTTTCATTCACTTTAGGGGCTCAGAAGCTGCTTTGGAGATCAGATGAGAGAGGATAAGTGCTGCTCTTTGCACTTGTTGCAAGTAGCTGCTTGAGGGATTCTGTCAGACGAAGGAACTCTTTGAAAATGTTTAGATGTCTGCATTTACTGAAACACGTGTTTTTATAGATTTTATACTGAATATATTTTGTAAATATCATCTTCTTTGTGTTCATTCAACTAAAATAATATTAAAAATATTAAAGCAGAGCATTAAAATCTCACCCAAAATGAATTAATGAATCTCCTTAGAATTTTCTACATACTTCTTTGCCATGAAAGGCCCAGTAGTCTCCCATGCTTGCACCTGAGAGGCATTAATGCAGGCATGCAAAGGTAGTAAAATCCTTAAACCTTTAAGTAGGATTTGTTTTTTTTAGAATACCAGCACTTTTTCTGAGGAGAAGGATCACCCTGCCTGGTTAAATTAGTCAATATGCTAAATATGTAGAACTGAAAAGAAATAATAATAATCATGAGGGAAGTTAGCAGCATTAACTTGGACCTGAGAGGAAACTGAGGTGTCATTGTTCCAGTGGCCCTGTGCTATTTCCAGTAGTTATGTAATCTTCTGCTGTACAGGATGCTGTTTCCTTGCCCTTCAGTGACAGAAGAAACTTTCTGTGCTTCTTTCATAGGAATCCAGGCTGGTATTTACTCAACTGTAAAGGGACGTTTGAATTGGAAAGACAGATGGGTTCTGTTTTGACATGAGCTCATCTTAGAAACGTTCTCTTTATGACAAACATACAATCTGAAAGGAGATTAATAAGGGAATGAACATTTCACTCCACTTTATCAGGCATACCTTTATGACCACCTGTCTAGCTTTTTTCTCCCCCTCTCATTTGCTGTCTGCCCTTGGCAGTCAGAGTATTGACTCCTTAAGTACCCTGAAGGTGTTAGCTGAGCTGTTATCAGCAGATCCTCTAATTTAGCATTGTGGAAAAAAAAAAAAAAAAAAAAAAAAGAGAAAAAGTTTCTCTTCAATAATAGTGTCTTTGTTTTAAGGGATCTCCAGATCTGCTGCAGGACAAACTGCTCCTGCCTACAGCCGTAAACATCTGCAAAAACTTGTCGAAAAGAAAAATCCTGAGTTACAATTTTTGATCCCCTTTGATGCCAATGAAGTTTTTTTTTTAGTTTTTTTTTAATTGAAGTTAAACCTTAAAAATTTCCAGTTTGTCTTGAACATCATACGGTTGCTTGAATTGATTAATATCTGATGAGTTTGGAGGTTATGAACATCTAAAATGCAGCAGTTGACAGGCGGGAGCTGCTGGGTATCTTACCTGTCAAGTACAGAACTATTCATCAATGAGTCTCATGTTCTCGCCAAGTATGTTCTTGAGAAGAACACAGGAAAGTATGGACTTGGGGAGAACGGGAGCACGCAACATAAATATGGGTCAATTGGAGCAGAAGCGTACTTGTGACGTCACCACACGCTCGTCTAGTGTGGAGCCGCATTTCACCTTCTGTTATTTATAGTCTCTCGATAATAATAAATTATGCCTTTTTTTATTTAGTGGGGGAATAATAATTAACACAGTCAGATAAACACAAACCAAATGAACATTTTGCCAAATAAAACAATAAACTCGCCATCAGAGCCTGCCGTCCTTCACACACACCGTCCTTTATCCTGAGAGAGGGCTGCTGCAGACGGGTTAGGTTTAGGGGTGTAAATAATAATCGTTTTGTATCGATGCATCGATCCAACAGCCGAAGATCCGATGCATCGACACGTCCGCAAGAGTATTGATTCATGTTTTTTTTTTTTTTTCCTCCGGTCTATTTTTATCCATTTCCTACAGGGTGTAAATCTCACTCCCGTGCTGCGGTGGCGCTAAAACTATTTTGCCCTTCTACCTCGCTTCCTGGTTATACTCCTGCAGCAGTGTGTCGCAGTGAGCTTGATACAGACATTTTTGATTTATGCTCAATATGGTCTGCGCTATACGCTGTGGGTCTAGATACGGCCGAGGCGGTGAGGAAGTGGGGAGAGTTTGTCCGACAACGGAGGGATCTGAGGGCCAAAAAGAGCGGAGATCCAGGTGGAAAAAAGTTTTTTTCCGCAATTTCGGTCATAAAAACAAAACAAGCCGGCACTGCAGCACTGTCTGCGGCAGTGTCTGCGGTCAGCTACAATTTGGGAGAGGTGCAGCAGAGTGTCTTTTGGAGGGGGCGGGGACGTCGACACTCTGGAGCCGAGGTATTCTATTGCACTCATTGCAATGATTGTGTGCAGTACTTTTTGATGCAAGGTCTTTCAGAATCTATAAAGCAGGGGAATAATTATTTTTCAGTGAATGAGGTTTTCATAGGTCTAGGTGGAGTACAACTTTTCTACTTCTGTTATTTGCTGTTGTTTCTCAAATAAAATGCACAACAATATTACAGCTTTCATTGATTTATTTCAAATTTGAAACATTGTCTAGCCTGTAAGGTAAAAAAAAAAAGAAAAAAAAAAAGAGCCAAATTAATCGAATTGTATTGTGGTGTATTCTTGAGTATTGAAAATAATCGAATTGTCAACTGAATCGAATCGCCATGATGGGTGTGATTTACACCCCTGGTTAGTATTAGACCTGCTGCCGTTACCCTCGAAGCTCCGCTGGTTGCGGCGGGCCTCTCAACTTCAGAATTTTTTTTTCAAATTACACATTAAATCGTTAAATGGGCCATATAGTGACGCTTAAAAGTAAAATGTTGCTACCTCACATGATCTTAAAAACGACTTTTATTGAAGAACAGCTACAGAAAAGATAACTTTTTAACTTAATACTCTGAGCTCTGTGAGCGCTCCATTGAAAGCTGCTGCTGCCGCATTGCATTCTGGGACAGCTGTCAATCTCAAGAACACAAGTCTTCTCTAATGCTTATTCAGTAAAGAGGGAGAGGCGAGAACAACATCCGGTCGGTTCTTGGTTTGCTGTTCTTGTGAATTGGAACAATACAAGGACTGAGGCTGATGACATTTCATGAGTACACAAGCACATGAGAATGCACAAGTTCACATATTGAACTGGTGACACATATACTGTCATCAGTTCGCCATTAATCATTCAGTTGGTCACTTTTAAATGATAGCTGCAACTAAAGACTAAAAATACCCACAGATGATTTTTTTTAGATGCCCTGACCATTTTTTCATCCCAGTTTCTTCAGGTCAACTTGAATACAACCATAATACATGTGAGAGATGAATCAGATCACAATGGATGTGATTCAAGGTACATGGAACAAAAAAGCACTGCTGATGCTGTGCCTTATTTACCTCAAGAAAATATTAGAAGATATTTACTGTAGTTATGCAGCTTTTCAATAAAATTAGGCTTTATCAGAGAAATTGCCTTTTGCCTTAATTCAGATTGCATGAAGCTTTGAGCTGACAGAAGGAAGTTGGGAATATTAACCATCTTTATATATCTATAGTTGTATATTAATCCAGATTTTCTTGCTTTTTTGTAAAAAAATGAATTTCATAAAATGAGTTTTGAATTAGAGTCAGAAAATGTTTTACTGCCCTTTGGATTTGTTATGGTAATAAGGTGCTGCACATAGTCAAGCATATATACAGCAGAAATAGAATAAACAAATGCAAGTTGTATTGGAACATTTCACTAAAAAAGAACAACAGTGCAAATTTTGCAGAGAAAGAGCAAAAATCAAATTAGATGAAATGGTATAGACTGCCTGCTTCACATGAATGAATCAACCACATTTCTTTACGCTATTTTTGGTTAATCCACATCAGGCTTCATTCAACTGTTACCTGCTCCAATAGAATCAATTCACTGACAGAATAACATGGAAGCAATGTTATGGATGTTTTCTTTGACTGTAGCCTCTACATATGAGCTAATATCCTATGGAATGTGAATTATTTGTGCAGGGTAATGGCAGAGAAAAAGCAACCTGCCCTCATATCTATTCAGCTGACAGACAACTAGGATTAACAATAGAGGACCTGTTTGTGATTCATTCCCTGCAGCTACTTCCAACTTCTACCTCACCTTACATCTCACTATTTGTTTCTCAGGTCACTGGGAAACTCAGTTATCTGCCATTTAGGTTTCACTTACCTGCTGAGCGAGTTTGGCCCTTTGACCCTCGGGGGCTGGTACCTATATAAGCATTCTCATGATATAGGAATTTGGTTGCATTACTGTAACCTAGTACCCATCCTTCAAGTGTCAAAGGCTTTTTTTCATCAAACATTAGAGAAACCTAATATTCTGCATTTTCTTAACCTTTTATATCTTGGTTCTTGGCAGTCTTTTTTTTTTTAATTTGATGTTTATCTCTCTTTATGTGTGAGTGAAAATGTTGGTGAGAATAGGCGCAATCTGAGAAAATAATACAATTTTAGAATTTACCTGCTAAGTTTCTTTTTAAATTTGTTTATTTATTTTGTTATGATTTTTATAACTATTTGTACATCTCGTCTCATATCCTATCTCTAAAGGAGTGCCCAGCAACTCTGCAGAGAAAGTTAATCTTCGCTCTTTCGGTCATGACTCATGGCCTAGGTGTAGATATGAACATAGGCAGATGAAAAAGCTCACTTTGCTGGAAGTTTTTTGACATGTTACTCTAAAATGTGTAAAGTGTTGATTTCTAAACAAAGACACCCGTCTGGAAACAGAGTTAATATGACCTGGTAATAATGAAATTCAATTAATTATGTTTTTACGTCTACCTAGTTCAGTGTTTTTCCACACCATACGCTATCAGTGTATATCTGAGTTCAGCAAAGGTCACATTTTACAGGTTGCTGCAGTGTCTAATAGTGGATGTTATTTTGAAAGGTGAGAAAAACTTTAAGCAGGAAACCAAAATTGGATCAACAAAATGATATATACTAACTATAATAAAGTTGTGAAAGTTGTGAGCAAGGGATTTGGAAAATGGCGGTAGAGATTCATGATACTGGTAATTCATAAATTTGTTTTCCTGTTTTTCATATTTGGATAGGTGTCTGAAAATAGGGGAAAACAGTAGTCTGAAAGAAAAACAAAAAACAAAGAAAAACAGATTATTTTCTTAAATCTTAAATTTGCAAGTTTAGAAGTTAAACATTATTATCAATTATCATTTTCTCTTTCCCATACATGCCTTTACATTTGGCCAACGTGCAAATTGAGCTTACCTCCATTTACTGAAATTGCCTCTATAGACTCAGTTCATGACAAAGGGATCCTGGTCGGTAGTTTTTAAGAGAACTCCGATTTGCATCCAGAATGAAAATGGACCCACAGTTGTTGTTTTTTTTATTTTGCTAAAAAAAGGTAAGATAGAGTATCTTGTTGAAAATTACTTCAATATTATTGACTTTCCTACAAAATTACAATTTTGAACAAAATAGCTGTAGTATCAGACTGTAGTGCTTTTCCTCCTCTCCCATGTTTATGCACAAACATTTCATTTTAAGCTGCCATCTGAGAAAAACTCTGAACTTGTGCTATGCTCCTTAAAGCTTTATTCCATGTTATGAAAGAAAAATATGATTCTCTACAAATCTTTTACTCTGGTGTCTTTTCTTTGTTGTTATTTTTTGTGTGTTTTTTGTTATGCTTGTTTTGCACCAACTTGGCTAATACTCAATTATGTGGTTTTTGACATATATTCTGGGAATCCTCCTTAAGAGGACTCATTAGTTAAAACCAAATCAGTCCTATACGCTATCAGTATAAATCAGGATATTTTGTACCTTTTCATAGAAAAATGTTGCTCATATAAACTGTGTGTCATCTTCCCCAGGGTTAGAAATGTATTTCTTTTTTACTCTACCAGTTTAACATGGACATTTTGCATTAACTTGAGATAAACACACTTCTTGAGGGTGAACCTATGTATCTGATGAGTTCTAGAGCACAATATGGCTGATCAAGCTAGAAATGTAAATCCCTTTTATGTCCCACAATGGGGAAATTCACTCTCTGCATTTGACCTATCCCCTTGGGGGGCAGTGGGCTGCCATTGTGTGGCTCCCAGGGAGCAGTGTTGGTTTATACGTTTTTACTCAGGAACCCAGGGTGGAGGCTGTGGGGAACAAACCGGGTGCAACCGTCTCAGAGCACAAGCACAATGCTCTAATGACTAGGCCAACCCTCCCCCCACAGGCGGGGATACTCTCCACTATACTAGCAAGAAATTCTCTAATTCTAGTCATCAGCAATTTTCTTTGTGGATTTCTGTCCATCATTTTGCACTTCATAATCTCAACAGTAAAAAAAAAAGAAAAAAGCAAGCACTAAAGTCATTGATCTGTTGAAGCTGCTGAGTAAAACAATGAGTTATGGTGATACATCACTCCTGCCAGCAAGCTGTACAACCTCTACAGATTATTGCAGTTAGTTCTGGTGCTGTTGCTGTCTTTGGCAAATTGAAGTTAAATAAAGGTGTGTCCTAAATTCCTCTACTGTTTTAGTTTCAGCATGTCTCACATTTCTCTTTATGTCTTTGTATCTTTGTCCAGGGGAAGCGACGGCAGCCGAAGACTCAAGAATGTAAGTGTCACTTTTTGTTTAAACTAACTTTTTTGTCTGTTTGGGCTGCCATTACTAAACATTTTTTTTCTTTTTATTTGTTTTACTTTTTCCCTTTTTCATTTACTCCAATCAGGTTTTTATTGTCATTTAAATAGATTTGTTTTGCTGTCTGTGTTGGGTATCTGCTCGAACACCTCCGTGGCATTTTTTTTTTTTTAAGTACCTCTTTAAGAAGCAGAGGGCATTGTGATAGCCCTGCCCACTCTGCAGTCAGAGCAGCTCCACTCTTTCTCAGTCCCTTCACTCTCAATGTGATGCTGGTGTGCACCGAGCAGTTAATGTGTGCAGCTACAGATCCCACAGCTTCAGCTAGATCATTTAGCTGACTGAACAAACTCTCTGCTGCAATAGCCAGCATTTACAGCTGCAGAGAAAATGATACGCAAGTTACCGAATGGTGATGCTTTAGCCTGGACCTGCGTTTGTGACGTGCACTGTGGATTTGCCTTGCATGCTGAAGACTAAAGACCGGGATTGGACGGCAGCTGTCTCTGCAACGCATCATATATAGAGAGGTGAAGGTGCTGTGAGAATAATCTGCTGATGTGATCATAAAGGTGTTAGCAAACAGCTTTGATGTTACCTTGAAAAAAGCTGCCTGGAGGAGTGGAAAATATCTGTAATGGTGTAAACGAGATGAGCCACTTGTGCAAAACAAAGATGTAAAGGAGCAGTTACCACACGGAATAGATAACTCATCTTAATTTGGGTTGACATCAGAGGACACTTTTTAGAGCTGTTTTGCAATCTTTTGTGTTTTTGTAATGTAATATAAAGAGCTCATCATCACCTTTCAATTGAACCTTATGGATTGACCGTGTATTACAGCTGCTGGAAATGATAAAATAACGGTAAAATAAGTGTGACGCACTTCTCCTCTCCTCTCTCTCCAAGGCCTGTTGTTTATTTTACTGTCACTCAAACTTCACTGACTTGTTTTGAACAAATGGTTTCTTTCACCTGGTCCATGTCATTGCTGATGTCAGACTTCACATTTGATGCAGTTGTCAGTTGTTATGGTGTTGCTTGTCTAGATAGTACTGGTACAGACCTTCCAAGCTTCTCGCTGTTGTGTTGTATTTAGGATCAATACAGAGCTGTTTTTCATGCTCAATAGTGGGCATGTGGAACACATTTGGTGGCGACCTAGATTTACTAGAGATGCGCACATTATACTGGTGACACTGGAGTGCTGTACTTTGTTGCTGAGAGTGGTACATGATGCTTATAATAAGGTTAAATGTTGAGGACATTTTTGATATTTGTCCTCTAAGTTGTGTTCAGGCTTTAAGCTCATTATATCTAATGCTGATGTTTTCACCAAAGTTGAGAGATAGGAAAAAAATTAAATGAAAGATTTTATAAATCTCTAGTATTAAACAATCTGAGCAGGCAAGAATATAGCTAAAAGTTGTCTAGGACTTTACATAGGATTACAGCGGATTATTGAGACAACCTGTGTTTCAACAGAAAGCTTGTTTTTTTTAATCTTTTCAACCATTATAATATTTTTTGCCAAAATAAACACAGCTGATTCAGTTCAAGCATTTGTCATATGATGAAAGCAAACATAGAAATAAACATAAGTTACATTTGGCACCTTTTAATTTCTAAAGAGAATAAATGTTCAGCTACATTTGGTCTCTTTCTGCTCATATCCCCCAGGGAACATTATCCAGCAAGGAAAATAGCTCCACACCATGTGTGATACACAAAGGGTTTAAAATCTTTAATGCAGTTTTCAATCTTGCAAAAGAAACAAAACACATTTTTACATTAAAGATTGCATAAGTTTGAATCAGTGTCTGTTCTCAGTTTATCACGCTACAGAAATATGTTTTATTAATCACCCATATGAATTTGAATGATTAAAACACAGCTAAACATATTCAATTAGGCCTCGGAAGTATTGCTGAAACTGACGTTTTAGCAATACTTGAAATTTCTCAATTTTTGAATTGAGAAAGCTTCCTGGAGAGGTGGCGAAACGTCTTCAAGTCTTGGAAACCAAGTCCAATGGATTTTTTTTTTTACTTTTACGGAATGACTATGACCTGGATGACTGAGAATCTTCATCAGCAAGAAAATATGCAGCTGTTTTAAAAAAAGAAATAGCTAAATATTACATTTACAATCAGATTTTTAATTAAAGGGGGAAAGGTGGACTCTATGCTTATGTATGACTCATGTTTAGAAGCGACACAGAGGAGAATAAATCTGCTCTACGACTACAGACAGGCTGCAGCTGCTGCGTCAGAGTCCCTGTGTCTTGCTTAGTAATTGTTCGCTGAAGATTGCAAACTCACAAACAGTGTCAAACAGACAGGATAATGCCACTAAATTGGTGGCTAGCAAACTCTTTAGAGGGGTCTGAAACAGTCATAAGTATATAGATAAAGCCGCTTAATTGGTAACAATGCATAAGTGGTTTCACTGTTCATTTTTATACTGCTGGGCCAGCGGGGGGGCTTTGCCGAAGGCAGTTGCATGATAACATGAGGTCGCACTTTTTGACACTCCCCAAAAATCCTGAAACACCGGAATATAAAACCCATATTTAATCCTAGTGCAATATTACGTATTGCATGACTTTTTACACATGTAGAAGAATACATTTATCACATCTCTAATGTGTTTCAAAAAAAAATGTGAATCTTCTTTACACAGCCTTTAAGATAAGGATTTGCCACCTTAACAGAGCCAGTGCTTGTTTAGGGTAGGGATATCAGCTACTATTGACATCTTATTTATCCATTTACAATGAGGAAGATGAATGTTGCAAAGTCTGAAAGCCAATGACCCAGTGGAATTCTGGCCATAGAAATGTGGGATTACCTGAAAACAAAAATAAGATTTAAACAGACAATATTTGTTAGCTTTTAATGAATATTTTCCATAAATCACCTCTTACTACAGATAACGGAATCATTACCTTTAACACTAGAAATCCCAGAGATACGAGAATTTTCATCAGCCTGCCGTCTCCCCGCAGTACTTATCAACTCATGAATCCCTTTTCAGATGTAAATTAGCGCTGTGGCTGGAGAACCATTCCACCCCCTTCAGTTTCGGTTTCAGCTAAAGTCTCTCTCTTTGAGACTGTTTTACCTGAGAGCAGGGGGGGGAATCATATTTGTAATTAACCTCTCAAAGCGAAAATTACACTGGTAAAATCTTTACCAATATAGACATATTAGACATCGTTGGAAAGCTTTGATTCTCCACAATTCAACCAACTAGTTCATTTGATGGACACAGCGAGCACCAAAGAACAATTAACACAGATATAGCAGCATGTCAAAATGTAAAGATGACAAAGCAGTCACAACAAGCAGTTGCTGTTCAAAAAATACCTATTATTTTCGAGAATAAAAAACCCCAACTTTGAGTCATGTTTGAACTGATGCAGTTTGGGATTGATGCAGCTCGGGTGTTTTACTTACCCAATTTTTTGGGCTTAGAGTTCGTAAGTTATTTGCTTTTCCATTTTGGTATGCAAAATAGGCGAGAATTTCCCAAAATGAGCTGGATATTAAGAGGTTAAGTTCACTGTGGTTCACAGTAAATGACTCAACTGGATGTTGACTTCACTCTAATCACCGGGGCCTTCCATTTGCTTGTCTTCTCTGTGTATTTGAATGGCAGAAGCTGTTTGCATTGACAGTGGACGTGCAATAAACACATTAAGCCTGGCTGAGCCCTCTTATCACTGCCTCCCCTGTGGCGTGCAGGTTGACATGGACACTGTAAATATAGCAGGAAGCACCCTGCCAACAGTGCTAAAGGTGCAGCCCTGTGTCATCTCAGGCTTAGACTGTATATTCAGCATTTTGCACATTAATCTGACTGCAAAGAAACTGAAATGTGTGCTGCATGTTTTATTTTCTCATTCACACTTAGTTTGTCCATTAGTGCAACTAATCAACAGCAGAGTTTCTACTTTAGCAGTTTTTCTCTACCTAAAAGAGTTTACTCTGATCTAATCATTTATCTAATAAATCACAGTGGCTACTCACAGGTCAGAATATGGATCAGAGAGGTGTGTGTAGCTGGTTTTATGTTCCCACAAAAAAAGCCTTGCTCTTGTTCTGCTTTCTGATGCTTCTGGTTATAGTGCCCGCATGAGTATTCAAAGATTATTAACCTTTTTGTTTTTAAGATTGTAGCTTTCATTTTTAGGAAGCACTGCACAAATAATTATTTTAAACTATAAAGAAGCAATTTTTGTATTGTTAAGCATATAGTTCAGAAACTCATGCATTCCATTTTGATAGTTTTTTTTATACCATTTGGTTTAATTAGATATTCATGCATTTGCTGAGGAGTGTAGACCCTAGAAATGGATATAAACAGTCATATACCTTAATTTAAAGATCTGTTGCTACTTTATAATTTTTACAGAATGAATTAAGACTTAGAAGGACAAGTGTTAAATCATTTTCCTTGGTGCTCAGAGGTCATTTAACCAAAATACATACCGGTAACTGTCGGTTCATGCACCACTTTTTTGAGTATTTAAATGTTCATGCCAGCCATGGCTTGTTTCATAGTGCTTAGTCATCAACTCCTGGGGAAGTTTGTGGTATTTCCCACATTAAAAGCAGACTATTTGCATACCTGCTCTGTTATTTATTTGTTTACTTTATAGAAAAATGTTTATTCAAAGCCACATTGGTTTTATTAGACATACAGTGCGGAAAATAAGTATTTGAACACCCTGCCATTTTGCAAGTTCTCCCACTTAGAAATCATGAATTGGTCTGAAATTGTCATTGTAGGCGCATGTCCACTGAGACCTGATCTAAAAAAAATAAAAAATACAGCAAATCACAATGTATGATTTATTTTAAGTATGTATTTGCATGATACAGCAGCAGGGTTTTCAAATACTTCTTTTCCCTTCTATATTATTCTGACATATTTCATGATTAATATAATTCCAACATGCCAAATATTACCTGAATTTTGTAATAATTTAATCTGTTTCTACCTGCAGGTTTTAATCACAATCTACTGGCTCGGTCGTGCTGCCAACAGCTGCACCTCCTACAACGGGCCCACGCTGGACCTAAAAGAGTTTGAGGGCTTGCTGTCACAAATGCGAAAGGTCATTATATTATATCATATTATCTTGTATTACTTTAAATTACATTAAATTGTATTATATTATAATGAACAACAATGGTAATAGATTTAATCATCTAATCAGTTCCTTGTACAGTTACACTCTTAATTCTGCTGGTTATCTCTGTAACTATGGGGAATTTCATTTCTTCTGAGTTGATAGCCACAAGCTTTTTCTTGCTGTCACCAAATGACCATCTAGTGTGGCATTAAACGATATAAAAACAATCTCTGCTTCTTTTTTTTTTTTGGAAGTCCTGGAAAATATTTGAGAAATGATCTCAGAGAGAGAGAATAGCATCATCCACCTCAGGTCTGGTCACGACCTTCATAAACCAGACTGCTGGAAATTCTGATGTTGCTGTCCAGAAGGACAGAGAAATGCTGGAACTCTTTATACAAATCTTCCTGTGACTATCATTCACAGTAATGATGTCATCCTAGATGAAATTTTTCCACACAGTGACATCCGTTCACTGTCTGTAAAAGAGAACAATTACTGCCAAATAAGCAGAATTAGTTTACCAGATGTTTACACATTGCTTATGGGAGAAAAGAAAAAAATTCCATTAAATAAAAAAAAAAAAAAACGCTGATATAAAAGAGGAGTATATTAAAAAACGTTGTAGTCATGCTTTCCAGTGGGTTCTAAAAAGGCCTACTGAAAAGCATGAAGCAGGTGGATGTTTTTCTGACTGAACTAGCCTGAAGGAAGCTCTTATATCTCTAAACATTCTTACATATCGAAAACAGATAAAGCAAACGTCAAACACAATACCCACACACCATGGAACCTTCAAGAATACAGAGATTTATGAAGCTGTATGGCAGAGCTTTCAGGGGTCAGGAAAAGGAAGTCATTTGGTTGTCAGGAAAGGTCTTTCCCCACCTTCCATTAGTACCAAAGACACATTTCAGCTGGTGGCAGAAAAAAGAGAAAGGTCACTAAGGTGAAGAGAGAGTAATGAGCAAGGATGTAGGCAGAAGATAATAGGGATATTTTAAAAAGGTTGTTGACTAAATAGACGTGGGAGGGCTGTGGAGTTAGCTGAGATGCATTATGCAACATTCACATTCTGTCTTACTTTCAATAAACTGAATCAAACACCAGTTTAATCTATTTTTCTTTTGAGTTCAGCTGTTTGAAAAACTGAAATGCATGTGTTTACACATTCTGTAACTTAGGAGGCAGAGACAGTAGAAAGTCCTCAACGCAGCATTCGGGACAGCGGCTACATTGACTGCTGGGACTCGGAACGCAGTGACTCACTCTCTCCGCCACGCCACGGACGAGAAGATTCATTCGACAGCCTGGACTCCTTCGGCTCGCGCTCGCAGCAGACTCCGTCACCGGACGTCCTGGTCCCACGCGGCAGCAGTGATGGTAGGATTTCATCCAGCCCACACTGTTTATATAGTTCTTCATATATTCTTAAAAAAAATCTGCAGAACTAAATTTACTGTGAAAGCAAAGTCTTAATGTTAGAAGCTCTACCTTCTATTTAAAATTTAAAAAACAAGTTTAGAATAGGGCTCTGCAGTGGGTAGCACTACTGCCTTGCAGCAAGAAGGTTGAGGGTTTGATTCCCAGCCCAGGGTCTTTTTGCATTGAGTTTGCATGCATTGGTTCTGTCAGGGTACTCCGGCTTCCTCCTACAGTCCAAAAACATGACTGTTAGGCTAATTGGCTTCTCTAAATTCTCCTTAGGTGTGAGTGCGTGCGTGACAGCTGGAGATAGGCACCAGCACCCCTCGCAACCCCACTTGGGATTAAGCAATCCAGAAAATGGATGGATGGAAGTTTAGAATAATAGAGCAAACAGTTAAGCTTTGCTGTCTGTTTGTGAAGGGGTACAGATACAATTTTTACATTCTAAAAAGGTGTCTCTCTCCTTAGAGATTTAGATTTTTCTCTCCTATCATATTTAAACATCCCATTTTATCAAACAGCAATGTCTGCAATGTCTGATAAGCCGACTAAGTACAAATGAAGTGCAAATGATGAACGAAAAAAAGTACATTTTCAAAAAAACTGTTATTCCTTTTTTACATCGTACAAGAGGACTTTTTTGCTTCTGGAACTTAAAAGTGACCCAGATGTTAAACAGGCCATGTTCACAGCACCTCATTTAGATTTCATTCTGTTTGTTGATCAATAGAGATTCACTGATCAGGTTTTTTGAAGCCATTCAACAAAATCAATGTCTGATCCCAATATTGCTGATCACAGATTACAGCATCGAATCTATGCATTTTTCATGCCAGCAACATGCCATTCTACTTATCAAAGTTAAATGGGCTTTAAGAAGAACCTGTTTTTTTGTGCTTCCGAAGAGGTTTCTGCTTGTGCAGCATCCCTGTCTCATTCCATCGCAACATGATGTTCTATCGATTGTTATATATCGGTGCATCAAACACCTGTTATCATGTTAAACTGTCAGTAGGATGTTCTTCTTAAACGCTGAGCTAGTTTTCCATCTAGTTTAATGGGGTGCACCCTTTCCAACAAGCTCAAATTGTGACTCTAGGCTCCCCAGAATGTTTTAAAAAGTGTAAGATGAGATATTGTTAATTATTTTTTGCTTTTGGACTTTCCCAGTAATTTAACCCATTTTTTCCTATTTGATTTCTATTGTTGAATCATAATTAGTGACCTTCAATGGGGCAAAAGTGTCCTGTCTGGCGATGTGGCAATAAGAATAATTGTCTTGATGCAAAAAGAGAGCCCCACAGATTTTGTTTTCACAAGTGCAGCAGTAAGGCTATTGCCATAGTGTTCCGCTTGATTTATGCATATAAATTTTTGCATTATTAATCATGCAGGGAGTATTAAGTTTTATGGACATTGCAATGTAAGTAGAACAGGAAAGGAACAACAGAAAGAAAAAGAGAAAAGATTAAAGAAAGAGGAGATAAAAGGGGAGATAAGAGGAGTTGTTCACGATTCTTTCATGACCTCCTGGAAGAGTTGTTGATCTGCTCTTTGAGTAGTTTTGGTAGATCCCTCTCTCCTCAAAAGCTTGCTTGCTTGCTGTTCCAATTTTTTTTTCTCCATCATTTTTTATTAGGATTGTAATAAACACACAGCTGTGAAAAAATTCAAAAACAGTAGCAATATCAAGGCAACAAAACTATTCACTGCCCTGCACATATGAATATATAAAAAACATGCAATCAAAACCTGCGTTCTTGCCTCTAAAATGTATTGTATATTATATGAGAGGTATGCATTATTTCTATCATTGACCTTATAACTAGACAGTACATGTTATTTAAACCTCAGAGTAGCTCATGTTTCCTGCTTAAATTACAAGTTATTATATTTATTTTTAATGCAAAATGGAACCATCTTCTAAAGCCTAAAACTCTTCCCTCATAAGCCGTTTGTAAATTATTTCCTTATAAAGTTTAACAGCAACATAAAAAAGGTCATTGTGAAAGTGTACTTTCCAAGGCTGTGTGGGAAATTCACAGCACCACTTGGCATCCTGTTTGTTTCTGTTTTGAGGAAGAGCAAAGGAAACTCCTGTTATCAGGCTGTAGCACTCCTAATCTAACATACTTGTTGACATTAATTTTCATTGCAAAACAAAAAAAAAAAAAAAATGCAAAACAACAAAAAAGGTCAGAGGTACTTTTTTGAAGAGGGGAAAAATGAGGTCTTGCAGTTGAAAGGTCCTGCATTCTGAACTTCTTAAGAAAGCACAATAAACAATCACATGTTCTTCCACAAAATAATAACATACGGAAATCCCTCACCAGCATGAGAGGCCCTGTTTTTTTCCTGGTTTATTTTATTTTTATTTTTATGCTTTATGTGCTATTTTATCTGGTATTTTGATGCATATTGAGTCTAAACGGTATTTCATGATGTAAATAAGGAGGAGCTTTGGTTATAGAGTAGAGGATAGCGGTTGTCTTTACTGGGCTTCTTGCTTAATTTACCTCTGTATTAACCCCCCACATTAATCTTCATATTGTTACATTTCATATTTAAATACCATTGGGGGTTTCTGTTAGATAGATTTGGACGTCAAGGGATAAGAATTAGATTAAGTGAGGGTTGCTCAATGAAGGTAAAAATTAAAGTCTGGTTTAAAATGTTTACTCTGCTCATCTGATTCATAACTTGAAAAATATTTTTTTCTACATTTGAAGCTGCAGATTCTTAAGAGCAAATCTGCCCACTTTGCACATAGAGAGACTAAAAACTGCAATCACTCTTTTTTTCTAAATAGCTCAATTGTTTGAACAACCTGACTCTCAATTTTCGGCAGTCATGCTCTCCTAAGCTTGTTTTTGCAGCCACTTGCATGTTTTCCTAACATCCACTTTGGCACAATCCCCCTCTGCTGAAGAAAAACACAGAGCATTGTGCTTCATCCACCATGCTCAAGCATGTGCGTTCTGTTTTAAGTGACATCATTAGGTTTCCTCCTCGAACCTAGCATTTTGCATGTAGGCAAAAAAAAAGCAGAGTTTCTTTATTATGGATCCCCATTAGCGACAGCTTAAAGGAATAATACACCCAAAACATGATTAGCCTTCATTTTCTACTCACCCCCATGCTGAACAACACTCTGGAGTACTTTTTTGATATCTCAAATGCATCTGGAGATCTGGGAGGCTTCTTGCTGTCTGCTGACATTCAAATAATGGAGGTCTATTGTGCCCGAGGCAGAAAGGTCCATAAAAGTCCACAAAAAACGTGTCAATATTCCTCCATACTGCTCGTCCAATGTATTCCAAGTGTCCTGAGAGGGTAGCATCCAGAATTTACTCGAAACAAAGTCATTTAGAACGTTTTTAGAGCATAAACAGTAGTGTATAGGATTTCCTAAAAGCGCGTTCACGAGTCTACGGAAACCACGGCAGACCAAACCAGACGAAAGCGCGCATTCAGCTCGGCAAAGAACTCATGCTCTTACTCAACACTGAAGTCCTCAGACATTTTTCTTTCGTTGTTTCTTTCTTTGCACAGGTAAACAGCACATTTCTTCTTCTACGCTTGCATTATCGGCAGAGCAGACGCTGAATGCGCACTTTCATCTGGTTTGGTCTGCCGGCTTCCGTAGCGTAACTAAAATCAAGACTTTGACGAGTAAACATGTCCCATCATGAAACATGAAACAATGTGAAAATTTTATAGGGTATGAACACTTTAACAAGGTGCCTAAAGCAGGATGAAGCAGGATGATTACGAAAACGGGTTCTGACTTTTTTTTTTTTTATTTCCTTGTAATTGTAATTTGCAGCCCTTCATTACATTATGATAATAAGAATCAGATTGTAAGTATGTAGGAAATCTGCTGGAACATCTTTAACATGTTTTTAATCTGTCATGTCTGCTAAGGATTTATGAAACGTTTTACCCTAATAAAGCAAATGTGTCCCTTGCCTTAACCACAGGATAGATTAAATCCTGATTTAGTGTTAAGTAAGTGCTTTCTTCATAAAGATAAAGGAAGTTGCATGGCCAGGATTTTCCCAGCTGTATATTGACAAAAAAAATCTTTCTTTTCACATCTCTTTGGCACACCTTAGACCATGGCAGTGACTCAGAGTCCGACGGCACACCTAACAGGAAGATGCCGGACCTTCACAAGGACGACATGTTGGCGCGTCGCACATCAGTCACAGAGCTGCGGACTGCCATGCCTTTTAACCAGTACCTACCCAACAGGAGCAACCAGAGCGGATATGTTCCAGCTCCACTTCGCAAAAAAAAGAATGACAAGGAAGATGGAGGGCGCCAGACCTGCAGTACTGCAACCTCACCTGTAGGAGGAGACAGACCTTGTAGGTAAGTGTCAGGAATCAAAAAGAGCTGAAAGAGGGTTACGTCTTTAAACTTCATGACTGAAGAAAATGCATTAACATTTTGTTCAAATAATAATAAGGTATGTTTATTCTTTGCAAATAATGTTAGTTAAATTCAATGATTTATACATTATTATTTTAATTTAGAGTACCAGTTATCAGTTTGAAAAACAATATGGATGAAGGAACCAAGATTGCTAATGTTACTGACCGATCCGGAAACAAATATAAGAAAGCAAAGTTCTTGTAGCTGCATGTCCAGATGATCTTCAGGTACATCAGAATAATGATATATACCATCAAAAGGTTCATGTATTTCAGTGATTCCATTCATATTGTAAAACTTGTATAGATTCATTACACACTTAATATTAATTTGAATAATTATGGTCTAGAGCAGAGGTCTTCAACGTTTTTCAGGCTAAGGACCCCTAAACTGAGGGCGAGATGGAGCAGGGACCCCCTAATTATATATATTATATGAAAGTGTGTTATATCAAACTGGTCCTATAGTCACTCTATTACAGATGGAGTAATGTAACTATATTATTTCCGTCCAGGGATTATTAAAGTATTTCTGATTCTGATTCCTGGTTGATGGGACAGGTGTTGTGAATGAAACGGTGCCCCAGGTGAAAGAGCTTCTGTGTGTCGCTGAATGTGTGCATTGATGACTGAGAGACATCTTCTGCCTCCATTTATCTGTTTACTACACTGTCTTGAATCAATGTTAATGTGGATTTGAAGACATTTCAATTAGTGGAAAAAAACTTCACTTTTGCAAACCCCATGCAGTACCTCTGTGGACCCCCTAGGGGTTGCGGACCCCCTGTTGAAGACCTATGGTCTAGAGCTCATGCATATTAAAAGTGCATTTTCAAAATGTTTGCATATAACCTGAAAAAAAAAAAAACATTTTAACACCGTCAATGAATGTAAAGTTTTGTTCACAATAATTCCTGTTTAAAACTATGAAAAAAAAGTCACTAACACACATCACAAAGAAGATAAACTACAAAAGGTTATTACAAGAAAAGATAATGTTTTTTTTGTTGTTGTTGTTTTTTGGAAATGAATAGCCCAGAGTTTTACAGTGAAGTCACAGAATCCAGTGGAAACTCTCCACAGTCAGTGATGGTTCCTGGCATCTGTTATCAATGCCAAACATAACAAAACCTTTCAGCTGCTGACTCTTTTTCTCTGTTTCATTTTTCTTCTGATTGGACTGGATGATGCGTATTTTTATTGACTTTCACTAAAGCAGGAGTTTGAACTATGCTGCATAGTTCAGCATTAAGCTGCTTTAGTTCTGAATGGCTTATTGGAATATATCGGTATGCCATATTAACACCAGTGAGCACAGGGTTCAGACATTTCATCACAAGTTTCACATTTTTTCTTACCCACTGGATTCCTTTTTATTCTTTTCTTTTCTAACTGTTGTGTTTATGACCACCTGATTTGACTAAAGCTACAGTTTAGTGAAACGCGTCATCATTTTAGTTTATATCTAAAGATAGCTCTGATGAAATGCAGATAACTGATTCAAAGTAAAAAAAATAGAAATTATTTTCAGTCAGTTTTACAATTTGTTTCAATTGCCCAAAAGTAGAGAGTTTTTTCATACCAACGTGTGTGCAGTTTGTTATGTGAATCACTCATTATTTGCTGCTAGTAGTCCAAATTTATCATAAATTCATTCTTTCTTTTCATGTTTGTCCTCCTCCTGTCTTTCCCTCCCTCATGTCCTGTGACCATGACATCATAATACTCCTCATGTCACTCATTTTCCTCCAACCTGATTATGTGCTCCTATTTTTTCCAATGTGTGTTGCAAATGGATGTTATGAAAGTCCAAAAGAAAGCCCTGTCTTAGTCCTCCCACTTAGAGAGTCCCATAGCCCTTCTCCCACTCCACACATTGAACCACAGATTCAAGAGAACAAGAGCGAAGACGATGAGAGGGATGTAAAGCTGAGTGCTTCCTCACCTTGCATTGTGATCCATGCTGTGGGAATAAGAAGGAGCAGTGAGCCTCTACGATGTGGCCTCTACCAGGCCAACTCGGAGCCCCCTAGGGAAACCATCACTCAGCTAAAGGGCACCTCTGAACAAAGGTCAAAATCCATATCCTAAATTCCACACCTGATTCTGATTTATATTTCCTCTAATTCTCTTTTGATATATTTTTTGTTATACCCTTTTCTGATTAAGCAATCATCTTAGACTGTCTCTTAATTTTTCTTTATAAATATTTAACCAGAAATATGTGTTGAAAAAACATAACAGTTTCCCTTCTGTTATAATGTTTAAGCCAAAAATGTAGCCATAATGGCCCATCATCATTTAGTGGTTTGTAGAAACGCTTTCAAGAGTCTAACCTTTCAATTCAATTCAGTTTATTTATACAGTGCCAATTCAAAACACGTCAGCTCAAGGCACTTTACAGTTTAACCAGATCATACAGTCAAATTGATTCAGTTTTCAACCTGAGAAAAACCAGTTGATTGCATCAACTCATTGACTCAAACAATTCCTCACACTAAGCATGCTTTTAGTGACAGTGGAGAGTAAAACTCCCTTTTAACAGGAAGAAACCTCCAGCAGAACCAGCCTCAGTGTGAGCGGCCATCTGCCGAGGCCGACTGGGGTTCAGGAGACAGAAACAGAGATCCAGTAAGAAGCAAAGATACCTTTATCACTGGAGAGAATCTGGAATCAAACCTTTTTTTAACGTCTCTTTGCTTTATTAACATTTGGAGACATTTCTGTGTCCTGCTACAGTCATATCTCAGCTTGCTGGGATTTAAGAATACTGTCAGGGTTTTTACATCTGGATATTTATATTTCAAGTTTTGGAAAACTGTACATAATAATTTCAGCAGATGTAGATCTTTTAAAAAACAATATTTAGTGTTATCCATCGACGTAACCATATATAGTTCCTATTGGTAGAAAACAGTTCCAACTTTCCTTTTTTCTTATCTGACTACTTTACACTGCTGTAATTATGAGATTAGATTTTACACTATAAATCCTTTTCAGCAGCTTAACTATTAGCTAAGAAGTTTCTGCGCAAATTCATAGCTGGTTGGGACACAGAATGAACATACAGGCTTTTCTTTATTGAACCAGACAAAGTTTGTACCCAGTGGGCCACCCAGAGGCCATAAATTAGGATTCAAGTTTGAAGCAACAAGGTGGGGATTATAAACTGCAAACTGAATTATGAACTGAAACATTTCTTACAATCCCAGCTTGTTCCAGGACTGGCAGTATTTTTATTTTTTTTTTGGAAAATAACATTTAAGGGCTCCTAAGTTATTTCATAATCCGGCCTGTTTTTTCATGTTTTTTTTTCTTTTGTTTTTTTTTTTATAGAAAAGCCAACATTTATTTTAGTCCTGTTGGTTTGTTGTTATGAGGAACCACCCCTCGGGTTCCTTTTTTTCCGTCTTTTTGGCACAGATGTTAGGGCTTTGGTTTACTCTTAGAATTATAGGAATGTGTGTGTTTTTTTTTAAGGACTATGTGTTTTAAGTGTGCTTTAAAAAAATATATAAGATGGAGCTCTTGATAATGATATTTACACTTAAACATTACTACATTTAGAGACCACAATTATTTTTTATTTGTTTCCATTATAAGCTTTACTAAAAGTAGATGCCTTAAAAATGTGTCATTACAGTACTTTTCAAGACTCCCTGTTTTTTAATAGTCAAACTTTTGTATGTTTTTATATCCTATATAAATAGCAAACACACATGGGTATTTGTTAAAACAAAGGGAAATTTTGCATCATATAAAATTTCTTACCAATATAAATCTGAAAAATTAGGCATTCATCTGTATTCAGCCTGCTTAACACTAATATTCTTTTTTTTATTATTATTTCAAGACCAGTAGTTGTTTCTTCGTGAGTCAGTCTGTGTAAATTGATATCAGCATAAATACGGTTGTAACGTGGTGGTGGCAGCATTATGCATTGGGAACTTTCTTACTCATTATTTTTGGAATAATATTAGAGGAATATATGAATATTTTTCACATTGTACCATAATAGCTATTTATCCATCCATCAATTTTCTCCCGGTTGCTCCTTTAGGGTTATGGGAGTGGCTGGTGCCTATCTCCAGCAGCCTATGAGCAAAATGTGGGGTAGTCCATCGCATGGCAGCACAGAGACACACAACCATGCACACACACATTCACACCTGAGGACAATTTAGGGACAGCAACTAACCTAACAGCCATGCTTGAAACAGGGAGAACCAGCCCGGGGTCTTTCTGCATGGCAATTCCATGCAGAAAGACCTCGGGCTGGGAATTCAATCCAATACCATCTTGCTGCAAGCAACAGTGCTACAAACAACGCCACTGTGCAAACCACAACTTATATTTATGTAGGGATTAATTTTACAAAATCCCAATCCATAGACTTTTGATCTGGAAAGGCAACTCATTCTACTGCACAATAGCACCACCAACAACAATACCTGAATAGTTTTCAAATATGTTAACTAACTCAGTAACAGCTATTCTGCTACACATTAACCTATAGAACATACATAAGAGGTCAAACTGGCTATATTAACATAACAAGCCAGCAATTGCACAAAGCCAGTTAGCACTTTCCCCTAGCCATCTAGTTTTCAGTCCACAATTGTCTTTCTTCATTTTTTTTCAAAGCAGTAATAGTAGCAGTGCAGAAACTAGTATTTTGCACGTTTCTTTCTCTAAATTTCTTTTTGAAACTGAACACACAGGACACAAAATTGAGAGCAGGGATTGCACATAGTGCTTTGATGTTACTTTTGTCCAAGATGCATGATTAGTTATAAGTTTAGAGTGAATTTGATATTAATACAGTCAATCCAGCAAAGGCTGCAAGGATGCAGAGGTAGGCGATTTTACTAGATTTGACTGAAATCATGTAATATAGAAAAGCTGGACACAAATAATATGTCCCTACATGTTAAGGGTGGTTACAGACTGCAATGTGTGGCGAGCACTCCTCTAATTTATGATCAGTGAGGCCCTCACTGATTGGTTTTGGGCCATACATCAGCTACAAAAGTTAAGCCTTTCTTGCTTTCTTGCATCACATCGCAAGCATCTGTGTGCATTTTGATGTCATTTCCAAATTTTGCCCATCGCTTTGCTGGAGGAGGGCAAGTGACTCTCACCTTATTGCACAACTTCCATAGCAAATGAAAGGAGAGAGAGCAAGTTGTGTCTGCACTGAGCCCATGAGTCTCAGGATCATGTAAATTGAAAAAACATGTAACATATTCCAGAAAATGCTTGAAAGGCACTCTAGTGGCAATCAGTTTCTTTTGAAAATATTCCAATTTCAAAAAGAAATTTGCAGGAACCAAATCATTATTTTTTTGTAGATGTTCATTAAAACAGCCATCAGATAAAGTGTGTGCACCTTTAAAAATGTGGCCATGAGCCTATAACTGTACAATATGTGCAGACAAATCCACACATTAAAAAAAAAAAAACAGCCTGCACACGTGACCCGCCCTCAGGATGTGAGGAAATGAGGTCTTCTTCCATCCCTGACCCTGAGCAGATTAGGTCTGAAGGCCGGCCCTCTCCTTGCCAGCAGCCGGCCACTTTCTCTCTCCACACTTTGGTTTAGAGTCCAATAAAAACTTCCAGCAAAGTAGCTGTTCAGAAAACAGTAACAAAACAAGAAGTGTTGAAGTGACTTTGGTTTTACTGGCTCCAAGCTGTTTTCACATCCCAGCTGCTCTAAACAGACCTGTTAGCATGCAGTGTTTTGTTTGATTTACGACCTCACAACCGTTCCATCTCAGGCTGCTCCAGAGGAATGCTGTCTGATTATATAGGAAGATACGAAGCAGCCAAACGCTTCAGTTTGCTTTGCTTTCTGCAGTGCTTCAACTCGCTCGTGCTCAGAGGACTTCTCCCAATACTTCGCGACTCTCTCACCAAACACCACCACTTCTGCCAGGAAACGTCAGACCACAGTAGACCAGCAGGTTGCAGGAGTTGCAGGTGCAGATGGGGATGATAAATGGATCTGTCAAATGCTGACCTCACCCAAATATGCTCCCAGTTCCTCTGATTTCCTTCCTGTGCCCACTGCCATGGCAACCACTTTAGCAAGAGCAACTGATGCAGGCAGAACGAAGGAAAGGAGTAAAAGAGAAGAACCAAGGGAGGAGAAATCTTGTTCGGACCGTATTCCTCCAAGAACGTGAGCTGAGTCGTTTTAATCTGATGCTTTGGACTCCATCTCCTTAATTTGCCTTGGTAGCTAAGGGATCTTTCTGTCCAAAGATCTTAGAGTGCCCTCTCCATCAGCATGATGTTGACCTCAGTGTGCAGTGCCCTGATTGGATTATGACCTAAAAAATGCATGATATTCTCTGCATACACTGGGATCAGAGCTGCTGAGTTTGATTAGCAGAAATACAGTTGCACAGATAATGCATGAGAATGGAAAAATTAATTTTGATTTCTTTGCTTGTTTACTTGAAGAAACAATTGAGGGTTATGCTTTTTGTATTTTGAGGGCATCAAAATGAGGAACAATGGTTGATTTTATATTGAGACACATGTTATTGAGACAGATATTATCCCATCTGTACCAAACTCTTTGGCAGATTAATGATTTACTAAAAAGTGCCATGTGGTGAACAGACACTGCAGAAAAAAAAAATCTGGTTTTGATTTGGGGAATTCTCTAAATTTAGTCTTTACTTTGCTCCAACCACAGGCCACAGTTCTTTTACACCAATCCACGATAACAGCAGCAGCTGTGTTTAAAAAGATGTGAAAAGTTTATGGATTCATGGGAGTCCATAAACGGTCTGTAAAACATTTGGAGCCACATCTTTCAAGTTGTTCATGTGCTGATTAAAGACGCATGAGCTTTCTTTATTTAGCTCTTCTATGCTAAATGCACCTTTTTCCCGCTGGCTCTGTGTTTTGCTTTGCAGTGCTGCAGTTTTATCTATATTTTAGAAAACAGTGCCCTCTTGTGTTTGGTTTAAGGCTTCTATTATTTTGATATGGGATGATTTATCAAGCAAACATTACAGAATTTTCATAGAATATGAATATGCTATGAAATTTAAATAAGATTTAATAGAATTTTTCCTGTCTTCAAAGACTCAGTTCTTTATTTCTCTGCTTATTTGCATGAGAAAATCAAATCTACTTCTTCATTAATCTTAGTGTTGTCTTTTTATGCTCATTCCTCTGTTTTTTAGCCACACAGATAATGTCTCAGATGATTCACAGTAAGTTGCATCTAGTAAAGCTTAAATGCTTTCAGTCTGCGATCAAAGTTAATACTGAAGTCCTCGTTTATTGCCAAAAATCAATTTTGGTTTCATACGGGGGAGATGTTTTGAGGGGATTTTGGGGGGTCTTGCAGTTTTGAGTTGATACCTTTTACAGATTAACCCAGAAAATGATATTTGAAAAAATAACATTGGATCCCCATTTGTTTTCTTTTTTTCCAAAGGAATTACATTTCATTTTATTCATTTATTTGACAGGGACACTATACATTAATTAATGTGGCTGCAAATGCACCTGAATTAGAATTTTCATCTGTTGTCCCTGGACAGATCTTTAAAATTGTCTACCTGAAAACACAACAGTAAGAATTTTACAGTTAACATTACAAATATAAAAATATAAAGATATAACTCTTCAAATTTGGTTGACAACTCTTTCTTTGGTTTTACAGTGGTTATATTACCCCATTCTTTTAACATTTACACAGTGCGATAAAATAATATGTATCATAATCAAAATTCCATCACAAAACAGAATTTTGTGCCAGATTTCTGACCTTAGGCTTTCTGTGTCTATAACAAAAAGATAAAGGTCTTCACATTTTATGCTGCATATAACATTACATATTAACTGCAAAAAGGGCTTTTAACATTGTTGAAGCTATATCCCAAGATTTCGGCCTTAATGTGACCTTAGTATTTCCAAAGGACTGACATTATTTCCATTAACAGTATTTATAATTAAAGAAAATTAAAAGGTTAAGTTTTGCCGTACTTTCTTCGTGTTATCTGCTGAAAGTCTTGCTCTCTCTGCCTGAAAGAATGGCATACATGCCTTAACGTGTCATAGAAATCGGCACATGGAAACGGCAAAAGGGAACAAATAGTGTTGTTTTACTGCTAAACACAAACAGAATGCCAAACTGTTTGCTATGTAATTTTTTAATGAAGATTCTAGAGAAGTTATCACTATATATATATATATATATATATATATATATATATATATATATATATATATATATATTTATCTATATCAAAATAGCTCTAAAGGGATTCATTTTTTTTAAAATCTTAAATATGAGTGTAGTCTTATTTGATGTCCATAATCAGCATTTACTATTTTCCAGTGATTCATTATATTTTATAATCTACATATCCAGACGTTGGCTATGGATACATATATTAGACCCCTGATCTAAACAGGGTTCTGTTTAGATCAGGGATCTGTAATCTGCGGCTCTGAAGCCTCAATTGGCTCTGTAGACACTTGAAAATGGATCTTTGTAACTTTGGCTAAAAATATTGAAAAGCCAGCTCCTTTTTTGGAAAAGTAGAAATACTCACTAACTAGTTGCACTGAATTTCCAAAATAAATTGACTCTAAATTGAAAAGAAATATAATTTGTGATCTTTTTATATGCTTAAATTGGATTTCAGCAACCCAAAAGGTTGCAGACTTTGTTTTTTTTTGTTTTTTAAAGAAACCTAATAAGTTTCAGAAACTGAAAAAAATGCTTCCAAAGTCGAAAGAAAATCTTCTTACAAATTTTTTATTAAAGTTTATCAGCATCATTCAGAACTATGACTTTTGTAACCTTAAAATGACAAAACAATGGCCACAAAATATTGTTCCCTTTTAAAGTACTTTTTTTTTTTACATCTCCGCGCTTCCTCTGACTTTGTTTTCAAACAACTTAATTTATTAAAATACCTATGACCAATACCTATAACCTTGACCAGGTTTTATTAAATAACACCCACACCAGAGTGCTGTTGGTAAATGTAACCTTGATGCATTTACTGATCAGAAAATAACTGAATGTTGAATTTCTGAGCTGTCAATATGCCAGTTCTTATCCGGTAAAACTAAAACCTAAAATGCGACATGAGAGAAAGAGGTTTTGTGGCTCAACAATTTCCATAGACACAGAAAGAAGTTTTATGTTTATGTTTGTTGGGAGTTGTTTATAACACTTAATTTAATTTCACTTGTGCTTATTAGGTGTTTTCTTTCCGGCTAGAGAAGTCGAATGTAGATGTTTATTAACATTAAGTCTAAGCTGCATTATTTAAGGTTTACTCACTATGCATGCTCTCTGTCTCGCCTTCTCACACAGGAGTGTGAGTATGAATGACATGCGTGGTGAAGAGGAGGCGCCACATAGTCACGTCCGTCATGAGCGGATGCACAACCAGTACAACAGAATGAGAGAAGACGAGAATCACTGGCAGGAGGTTAGTGCATTAAGGTTCCTTCTTCCATCAACACCTCTTTGACAGTGTTTTTGCAAGCTGCTGAGCCAGGTTGCATCTGATCTGTACGTATCTGTGCCTGTTAGGACCTGGCCCGATGGAAAAGTAGAAGGAGGAGTGTCTCTCAGGACCTGATTAAGAAAGAGGAGGAGAGGAAAATGATGGAGCGACTGATGTCAGGAGACGGATATATCTCTCAAAGGAGAAAAAGCATCAAAACTTACCGAGAAATTGTGGAAGAGAAGTAGGTTACACCCACACCCGCAGCACAATGATTTATTTTCCCACAAAGGAAAGGTTGTTATTTTGTTGGATTCTGTAGACTGACACAAAGAAACACAACATCTTACATCTGAAATGTAAGGCAAGTGAAACATGATATTATGTTTTAGTTCAAGAAAAAAACAAAAAGATTTTAAAAATGTTGCTTGCATTTAACCTCCATAGACCCATCTTTCATTGGTGTTCCAGCAGCAGATCATTTGGGGTAGTGTCTTTACTGGTATTGTTCTATGAATGAAAGTAATACATATATAGTAGGGATGCACGATATTGGGATTTTGGCCGATATCCGATATGCCGATATTTTAAAACTCATGTAGCCGATAACCGATATCGATACCGATGTTAAAGCTGGACAAAAATAAGTAGTCATTGAAAATAGCAGTTTTGTTATCCATTTCTGACACTTTGAAAAATAATATACTCAAATATATTTTCATATGCTGATATCAAATTGATTTTTAAAAACGAGGTATCGATCTATTTTACTTTCAAAATCTCGTGAAATTTCATCGTTCTGCTACAAACTCTCGTGATATGTTGCAAATTCTTGTGAGATTTTGTTAGTAAAATAGATCGATACAGCGTCAATATATCAACATATAAAAATATGGCAAAATGACATATAGCAATATTTCATTAGTAAAAGAGATTGATATGGTGTTTTTAAATGGCAATATATCAGCATATGAAGATATTGTGATATTTTAATGTATCAATATTTTTTCTCTCGCCTTTAGAAGTTTTTAAGTCTGTAAAAAAGAAGTTTTTGAGGAAGAAGAAGTAGTATTTTTTTTTTTTAGACTTTAGAAACTCAGAAGCTGATCAAATATCGGGTTAAATGTCGGTGGGGTGGCCGATGTCCGATATTCAGTTTTAAGGCCGATAGAGGCCGATACCGATAGGGGGCCGATTATATCGTGCATCCCTAATATATAGGATCTAATGTGGGTTTAAAGCGATATAGGAATGAAACTATATAAAAACTTGCTTTGAAATTTGTTCTAATTCAGTCAGATTGGATAGACAGCATCTGTGAAAAGGGATATGAACTTGATGAAGCTGTTTGTTCAATAACAGCTTAGGGGCCTGAACACTGCTGCATACCACAAATTTGAAACAAGTAGGATATATATATATATATATATATATATATATATATATATATGTATGTTTAATTACTGTAAAAAACAAAAGAAAACATTGAGAAATAAATATTTCCACTCTCACTAATTATATATTAGCAGTCTGAATGCTTTTAGAATCAAGTTTACTTTTTATTATTTTTATTTTGTACTTCGATTTAGACAGATGCTGTTCACTAATCCTAAACCTTTTTGCCATCTTGTTTTGACCATATAAAGTAGGAGACAAATAAACCAAATAAAACACATTCTTTTTTAATTCCAAAGGTTTTAAAATACCAAAACATTCAAGTCTTGTGTTTTCCAGTTTTTAAAATGGTTTACATCATAAAACATATTATATTCTTTTAGGGAACGTCGTGAAGAGGAGCTACGAGAGGCTTACAGGAAAGCCAGAACTCCAGAGGAGGCATCTGCTGTTCTCCAACGTTACGCCCAACGTTTCTCCATCAGCGAGGCCGTCCTGGAGCGCCTGCAGCTGCCCAAGCTTCTAGACCGCAGCGTATCAGCTGATCCCTCCTTTCACATCTCGCCCCTTTCCCTCTCGCTCTCCTCCTCCCCTACAACCCCAGACCCCTTCGACGAAGACCCCAGCGGGCCCCTGAGGTATCTGCGGCAGCAGTCAGCTCCACTGCCAAGGTTTACATCCACGCTGGAGGCACAAATTGAAGAGTTTCCCAAAGATTCAACCTCACTTCATCGGCCTCAGATTCGCTCTTGCTCATCTGAACCGCCATCCACCCGAGCCCTGTCACCCAAACCCGTGCCTTTGCTGTCACCCAAGCCTTACTTTCAACCTCAACAGTTGGCATCTGAAAAGCAGAGTAGTAAGGTAAGACTGTCAGGAAAAAGGAAACGTATAGCACTAATGTATAGATTTAAAAAAGGGTTGCCAGCATTAAGAAGGGTTTCAGCTACGTGTTTCAGAAAGCTCATTCTAACCCATCTTTATATTTTGTCAAATGTACACTACCGTTTAAAAGTTTGGGGTCACATTGAAATGTCCTTATTTTTGAAGGAAAAGCACTGTACCTTTCAATGAAGATAACTTTAAACTAGTCTGAACTTTAAAGAAATACACTCTATACATTGCTAATATGGTAAATGACTATTCTAGCTGCAAATGTCTAGTTTTTGGTGCAATATGTACATAGGTGTATAGAGGCCCATTTCCAGCAACTATCACTCCAGTGTTCTAATGGTACAATGTGTTTGCTCATTGGCTCAGAAGGCTAATTGATGATTAGAAAACCATTGTGCTATCATGTTCACACATCTGAAAACAGTTTAGCTCATTACAGAAGCTACAAAACTGACCTTCCTTTGAGCAGATTGAGTTTCTGGAGCATCACATTTGTGGGGTCAATTAAACGCTCAAAATGGCCAGAAAAAGACAACTTTCATCTGAAACTCGACAGTCTATTCTTGTTCTTAGAAATGAAAGGCTATTCCATGCGAGAAAGTTCTAAGAAATTGAAGATTTCCTACAACGGTGTGTAGTACTCCCTTCAGAGGACAGCACAAACAGGCTCTAACCAGAGTAGAAAAAGAAGTGGGAGGCCGCGTAGCACAACTGAGCAAGAAGATAAGTACATTAAGCTGATGAAGGTTCTCAGTCATCCAGGTCATAGTCCTTCCGTAAAAATTCAAAAAATATCCACTGGACTTGGTTTTCAAGATTTGAAGACGTTTCGCGACCTCTCCAGGAAGCTTTCTCAATTCAAATGTCTGGATCCGCAGTGAGTTTGAGTCTTATATGGACAAGGCCTTGTATTGCTTGGAAACATGCAATGGTAACCGATGAATGGGTCGTTTAGTTCCATCGTTAGCCTGTAATATCTGAACCTGTCTATGATCCCCAGAATCATAGACAGAATCATAGACAAACTCACTGCGGATCCAGACATTTGAATTGAGAAAGCTTCCTGGAGAGGTGGCGAAACGTCTTCAAATCTTGAAAACCAAGTCCAGTGGATATTTTTTTAATTTTTTTGAATTTTTACGGAATAAGTACATTAAAGTCTCTAGTTTGAGAAACCGACGCCTCAAAGGTCACCAACTGGCATCTTCATTAAAGGAGAATTCCGGTTTTTAACACTTTTAGCCCATTTTCTGTAGTGTCCAGGATGAAATCGAATGATCGACACCAAAATTTTGACAATTGGTCCTGTCTCTGCTTTTTGGCTCATTTAGAATCCACCCCTGGCTGCTTCAGAATGGCTTCCATAGTGCATGTCCGATAATGTCCTTAAAACAACCTTAAACGTTCTTTTTTTTAAATATGCTACTCACCGGGTCGTCAGCGCTGTTCAATGACGTTCCAAAAAAAGTTTCGTAAAGAAAAAACGTTCCTGTAGTGTTTTATTTAGCATTTTGTAAATCCCATTGAGTTCTGTTGGAATAGTCAATATTCCCCTCTGACGTCGAGGTGCTAACGTCTCTGTTAAACACTTTAAAAAACTCTGAAAATGGAATACGAAAGGTGGATTCTTGATTCTCGACGTCGGAGTACACAGAGTGAAGCGAAAAGACTAAAACTGTGTAAACAGGCCCCATTTCCGTTTCCGGTGGCAGGGGAATATTGACTATTCCAACAGAACTCAATGGGATTTACAAAATGCTAAATAAAACACTACAGGAACGTTTTTTCTTTACAAAACTTTTTTTGGAACGTCATTGAACAGCGCTGACGACCCGGTGAGTAGCATATTTTAAAAAAAGAACGTTTAAGGTTGTTTTAAGGACATCATCGGACATGCACTATGGAAGCCATTCTGAAGCAGCCAGGGGTGGATTCTAAATGAGCCAAAAAGCAGAGACAGGACCAATTGTCAAAATTTTGGTGTCGATCATTCGATTTCATCCTGGACACTACAGAAAATGGGCTAAAAGTGTTAAAAACCGGAATTCTCCTTTAAATAGTACCTGCAAAACACCAGTGTCAACATCTACAGTGAAGAGGTGGCTGCAGGATTCTGGGCTTCAGGGCAGAGTGGCAAAGAAAAAGCCATATCTGAGACTGGCCAATAAAAGAAAAAGATTAAGATGCGCAAATTAACTCAGACATTGGACAGAGGAAGACTGGAAAAAAGTGTTGTGGACGGATGAATCCAAGTTTGAGGTGTTTGGATCACAAAGAAGAAGTTTGTGAGACGCAGAACAAATGAAAAGATGCTGGAAGAATGCCTGACGCCATCTGTTAAGCATGGTGGAGGTAATGTGATGGTCTGGGGTGGCTTTGGTGCTGGTAAGGAGGGAGATTAGTACAGGGTAAAAGGGATTCTGAATAAGGAAGGCTATCACTCCATTTTGCAACGACATGCCATTCCCAGTGGACAGCGCTCGATTGGAGCCAATTTCATACTACAACAGGGCAATGACCCTAAACACACCTCCAAATTGTGCAAGAACAATTTAGAGCAGAAACAGGCAGCTGGTATTCTATCGGTAATAGAGTGGACATCGCAGTCACCAGCTCTGAACCCCATTGAGCTGTTGTGGGAGCAGCTTGACCGTATGGTACACAAGAATTGCCCATCCAACCAATCCAACTTGTGGGAGCCGCTTATGGAACCATGGGGTGCAATTTCTCCTGATTACCTCAACAAATTAACAGCTAGAATGCCAAAGGTCTGCAATGCTGTAATTGCTGCAAATGGAGGATTCTTTGACGAAAGAAAAGTTTGATGTTAAAAAAAAAAAATCTTATTTCAAAAACAAATCATTATTTCTAACCTTGTCAATGTCTTGTCTCTATTTTCTATTATTTTCACAATGTATGGTGGTGAATAAGTGTGACTTTTCTTCGAGAACACAAAGTTGTTTGGGTGACCCCAAACTTTTGAACGGTAGTGTACATAATTGGTCAATTAAACTGTGATTCAGAGCTCTCCAGCCACAGTGGTTCTCAAAAGTCTACACAGACCTTTATGTTGCAAGGTTTTTGTACAGTGCAAAATAAGACCGTGATCAATAATTTATATGTTTATCCAAAAATAATGTAAAATCAATATTGTTCAGTTCACATAAATAGTTAATTTAACAGATGATTTGTAAAATGGAATGTCTACGCTGTTAAGCTATTCCAATTCCTTTATGTCATGATTAGGAGGCATGCTTTCACTAACAGTAAAAAAATAACAGCCTCTTTGGGTTTCAGCCAAAAAGTGAATGGCATATTCAAAATGTCTTCCACTTTAATAAAAAATCTTTTTTCCATGTGACCAAAAGTAACCCCAGACCATGATGCGGCCACCATCATTGCTATAGGATTTGGTTGATGACAGTTCCCTTTTTAATAAAATAACCTATTGTTCAGTTACATTTTATGCAGACAGATATTTTATATCATTATATTATATATTTTTTTCTATATTTTATTTTTTTTTCTGTTTCTTTTTTTTTTTTTTATAAAAGTTTATCATTTTAATTGGTTTATGTTACCAATGTTCTGGAAGTAACATCCCTGGGCTTGTTGCTCTTGACAGAACTGTCATGAAAATGACTTGATTTGTATGAAAACCAAAGACTTCTCTTTTTTTAAGAAGTATTTAATTTTAATTTCTGTCTTGAATTTCCCTTTATTCTGGCAAAAATTCACAAGAATTCATTTATATAGTTTAGTGTCATTTCAAAGAATATGCATGATATTACCAGATCCACATGGAGATTCTTGTCAGGAGTCACAGCTTGAATGCAGTCTCTGTTCGCTATTGACTGAAGAAGTCGACAAGTAGGACCCCTCTCAATGTGAAGTGGGCTCCCAGCGGACAAAGAGTGCCCATACAGGCTGTAAAGGAAGCGATGAGGAGAAGGAGGAAAAGGGGGCCGTCTGAGAGGCAGCATTCACCCGACTCCAGCCCTGTGTCTTAAGTTACCACTCAGTGGGACCTCCACCTCCTCACACATGTATTAGGGCTTCTTTGTAGAAAAGGCCAGCAGGGCATTTTGAGCCCATGAACAGCTAATAACAAAATGAAGAAAAACTCACAATGAGAAAGAACTGGGGCTTTTGGAAAATATTTTATTTAAGGTTTTTATTTATCTTAGGCTTATCTGATTCAGAGGTATACAGTATTTTGTATGATTTAGCAACCAAATTTTGTTGGTTATGTTTATGTGGCTTATATTAAAAGTCAAACATATGTAAGGAAACAAACAGAACAACATGATAAAGCTTTATATTGAGAAATGAAAAGAAATCATGCATGGGCCATTTTACAAATATAAACTAGAACGGTTAATAAAGCTACTTTGTATGTCTTGTTGCAGCCAGGTTTCTGTAAGAAAACAATCAATTTGATTATCACTGATCAATTAATTAACTAACTTTTTGGAGAGCGATTTACTCCTTTAGGATTCTTTTCTAACTTATTTGATTTTGGTTGTGGCAAGGTCCTGTCTGACTGGAGTAATGGGTGGGTAACAGTAGAGAAGCTGCAGAGAGGTGTCTTAAACTAAAACTCTGTTTGCTGGTCTGCACCCTGGGTTGTCAGGGATTTGGAGGACTAATAATGTTGGCCAGATTCTCAGGTAGAAGAGCTGCACCATCCAAAGTGGGTTGGATGCCGTCTCTTTGAACCAGACCAAGTTTTAAGCAAAAGGTTTACAAATTATCAATGTAGCCCACATGGTGTTCAGGACGCCACCTAGACAACCAGTGGTTGAATGATGACGTGACTAAACATGTCATAAATACTCAGAGAAATTCAGAGACTGAGTCTGACATTGTTTTGGCAAACTTGAACACAGCAGCATCACTCATTGTAATGTCCTCTTATCTAACCATGTCATTACCACCACCATTAATAACAATCTGACCGTATTTAACCTTATCCTTAGCCTTAACCTTTTCCTACAAGATAGAAAGGCAATCTTAGAAGTGAACTGGTTTGCCATAACAAAAAAGTTCTCCCCCTATAAATAATAAATGGTATTACACCGAGACCCAGTAAAAATATTATGAAACAATTCCCTGCAGCAGAAGCCATTAAAAGATCATTATAACTTTCAGTGGTGTGCAGTTCCTTTAGAGCCAGACTAAAAATGAGCAATATCTCTTATATAGTAGAGGTCTTTACCAACTTTATAAAATATTTCATAATAATTTACAAAAGAAGCATTTTTGAAATAAATAAAATAATCAATAAAATTCCTATCAAGATCAGCTATCTATGGTAGTGAAGTTACCTCAGTGTGTTTGAAGCAGAATAGAACACACCCTTGATTTACGTGAACTATTGATGATGAACAGCAAGGAAGGCCCAATGCTTGTTAGACTCCAAGACAAGACTAAGTGAATATATACATGATAAAGCATTGGATGGATGGAACATATACATGATAAAGCATTGGATGGATGGATGGATGGATGGATGGATGGATGGATGAATGAATGAATGAATGAATGAATGAATGAATGAATGAATGAATGAATGAATGGATGGATGGATGGATGGATGGATGGATGGATGGATGGATGGAGGCTAAACAAACAATGCAGTTTTTGAGTCATAATGGTGTGAAAGTTATTGTCCAGGACTCTTAAGTTTGCTGTTGTTATGCAGGTGGATGGTTTGCTACGAGTGAATGGCGACATTGGAAATAATTCTGAGTCTAAAGCAAGGGAATCCCCTCCCCTATTCCTGCCATCTCCATCCCTGTCTGGAAATGGCACTTTGGATGCTCCCTCATCAGATGCCTCACCTGCTCGATGTCTGCCAGCCACCCCCGAAAGACGAAGTCAAGGGTCAACAAAGGACACCGACCGACCGTACAACACAGCTGCAGAAGATTTTAAAGAGGAGAATGTCACTGAGTGTTTATCATCTCCCATTCGGCCTACTACTCTTCCAGAGGTTAGGGTTGGGATGTTTGTTTTTTTGTTTATTTTTACCATTCATCTAAAACTGCCTGTTTGTGATGGAATCGAGCAAATCTATTTTTTCTTTGCTTGAGTTTTCAAAAGTGCTGTTTGGGGAAAGATTAAAATCTCGCAACATTTCTTCAAAATTAGATTTTAATCTGACAATTATGTTTTATACTACGTGTTATAAACTTCTCTTTGTATATGTTGACTCAGTCCATCAAACAGTAAACCATGTTTATGACCATTACAGGAGTTAAGGCAGCCTGAGGACAGCTTTGGGGAGGCAGGAGGTCAGACAGATGCTGCTCAACAGGAAGAAAAGACCTATCCAGCAGTTCATCAGCAGTCAACTACAGGTATGAGCAGCGTGCTGCTATTATGTTGCCTTTATCAGCATCAGGTTTATTAAATAGTTTTCCTTTTTTGTTTAAAGCTAGGATTCTTTAGAATTTTGTTTGTTTCCTCTTTCTCAAGCTAAACCAGAGAAGACTGAACTTTCCAGTGAGAACCTACAGCAGATTTTTCCAACTGAGGTTGATACAATAAAAAATAAGGCTATAGCATCAATGGTGAGATAAATTTTACCTTTAAGTGACCCTCATATCAGGAGTCATCTAGTATCATCTTGTAGGTAAGAATTTCTTCCTGTCAGGGGTCTTTTCAGAGAATGGAGATGGCACCGCCCTCAGCTGCACCCGGATCGCTTGGATATATACCTCAAAAAGAAGTATCATCAGGTGAATTTATGTCTCAATATCCAGTGATGGAGCCGTCTGCTTCTTTTCCATCCTTTCTTTTGTTCTGATTATCATGTCAGTTTTGTTTGCTGTTTTACTTGACCTTTTCAGCACAGCTTTTTTTCTCCTTTTACAAAATAAAATTACTGATCTCAGTTGACACATGCTCAATGTATATATTTTCATAAACCAACCAGAAATTAGTCCATTTTGAGCAGACTAAAGATCCCTTCAAAAAGCAAATATTTTAACCTAATTATAGGAATGACTAATTATAGTTCAGTCGAACCTCTACTCCAACAGCTCATAAGTAAAAGTACAAAACTATCCCTGGTTTGACTTTTCAAAGTCTCAGGTTGTCCTCCCCAGCTCCTGTTTTTCACATCTGTCCTTTGCCTCATTATTTCCTTCCCTCTTTTCCTTCCTTCCCATGTTCCTTGTTTTCCTTCCGTCCACATATTTTCATCATTTTGCTCTAGAGTTTGAAATCAGTGTGAGGTCCCTGCAGACCTCCAGCAACCCTAAGTCACGCTGGGAATTCTTCGCTCCGCCAGGTAAACCTCTGTGTTCATGGAGGTCCCCCTACCACAGTACCATACTGGTGTTAAGGCTTCCCATTACCCTAAGAGCTAAGTCAAAACCAACTACAGTAGTTGCAACTTCTGCTCCATTCATTTTTTAACATTTTATAAATGAGGGAGAAAAACTTTTTTCGGCTTATCAGTCTCTTTCTACAACCTTGCTGGGTTAAACATAAAATATTGTAGATTTGTAATCAAGTTTTGAAAACATCCTGTTTGTAATCACATGTTTGTCCGCATCTGACTTACTTATAAACGTGCAGGTACCTCAACTGCTAAATTCATACTAAACTCTAACATACTAAACTTTCGTCTCGATAACAGGTGGCTTATTTGCACCTAAAACAAGGATTAACATTATTCATCTTTCATTACAGAAGAATATTATTACACCTAAAATAAGCTTTGTAAGTAGGAAACTTGCTGATGCTACACTTAATGGCAATCTTAACAATTTTGTGTCCTGCTTTATTTGAAACTGTTTAGTTAAGTTTATGATCTGCAATGTTATAGACCTCTAACGATACTTAGGATGTTCACTGGGTCATTTAGTCAATTTTAAGGCCCAATAAACACAAAGCTAATGAGCCTTCTTTCATTCTATTTCAGACCCTAACCCTCTATGTTTTTTTTCAAAGCTAACCCTTTACTGGAGGAGCTTTTTTCTGCAGCTTCTACTTTAGCCTTGAAACAACTTTATTTGGGTTACCAAGAAACACGCTATATACTATATAAATGTATAGCCTTGTAAAAAGCATTTTGAAGCTGTTAAACTGTCATTTCATTCTTATTTTCTCTCTGATTTTCGAACCAGTGCTTGATATTTTATAGAAATGTGTTTCAAGGAACTAAATTAGTTTGTATTCTTAATGAATGTTGATTTTCATTTTTTTTTTTTGTCTTGGTTCACAATTTTACAGACGATTCCAAGAAGAATCAACATGGAAACGTGAGTAAAATATGTTGCTGAACTGCCTTTTTTTTTTTTTTATTTAACCTATATTTAACCAGGAAAAAATCTATTTTTATGAATTTTTAATCCAAATGAGATTAAAAACCTCTTTTTTTAAGGGAGTCCTAGCCAAGAGGCAGCAAAGTTACATAATAAACAGAGATACAATAAATTAAATGACAGGTACATAAAAAAAATATCAAGTAAAACAATTACAGATCATTGAGGCTGCTTCAAATTCTTTCACTTTCAATTTAAAAGCATTTAAAGATTAAAAACTCAGTCAACTTCCAGTTTCTTTGTGACCTTCAGTCCATTGTCTTTGTTCTAGAAAGTTCTCAATCCTGTAATATTTGTGGGAACTGTGGTTTTGCACAATCTTTTGTGTTTTCTTTTTTCAAATAAAGTTAGGTTATTGGTCAATTGTGTTTTTTTGATTAGTTTTCTTTGTATTTTCAGTTGTGAAAGAGAAAATGAGCCTCTTAAGCATTTCAAAATGGCTGCAATCACAATTCTTGAAAACAAACTTATTTACTAAATAATTCATACATATAAGCTGTATATTCAATTTTATATAGATTATTTATTAATGTCCCTGATTTCCAATGTTTGTATGTTTGTGAATGTTTTTTTTTTTACTCATTGTTTTGAGCTTTTCTGGTCAACTAACCTGTTGGGTTGGTGCATTTATTCAATACTGCCAACAGTTAAAAACATGAAATAGTCAATCAGACGTAAACTATTTAGTCTCTAAATCTACATATAACTGATTTTATTTTATTTTTTACATTACATAAATTAATTTTAATTCACTTCAGATCTACTACTACTTTATTGATCCCAAAGGTAAATTAAGCAATTCTGAAACAGTCCCATCACATTATATCCTAATGAAACTCTATATTTTGTTCTTAGATTTTCTTTTTCCTTTGCTCCTTTTTAACTAAGCCTTTGGTTTGTCGTGTCGCCCTGAATGATACTGAGCTAATTAGAAAAGATCATATGGAGCTGTGGTGTAGCATGCCGGATGATGATGCTCCAGTTGATGGCTGAGACTGCTTTTTTTCCTTTTATATTCACCTCCATCTCTCTTTCTCTGTCTTCTCTCTCCTTAGTAGGCATTCTTCTGCTAGCAATGGAGTAGTGCTGTTGTGGTAGACCAAATATTTCTGTCTCTTCCCTTCTTTTCTTTTTCTGTGGTGAATGCGTGCGCACATTTGGGTCTGTCTTTTTGTGAATGGGCTGTGCGTGGATGTTGATGTATGCATGTATGTGGTGTGTTTATGCATGTTAACTTGTATGTACATGTGTGTGGGCCTATCAGGTCTCAGTCCCGGTGTTGTCCCAGACCAGGCGGGGAGACCGCTGGTCTTGGGACCCAGATGAGGAGCGAAAGCGTCAGGAAAGGTGGCAGCAAGAGCAGGAGCGCATGCTGCAGGTACACGGAAACCCACAAAGGGTACAGCATGGCGCATGAGTGTGCAAGGACAGGATTTCAGTTTGCTTAGGAGCTTTGTAGGCGGAGCACAACAGGCTGAGTCTGAGGTAGAAAGGTTTTTACTGAGCCCTTTAAGAAGCAGAATTTGATTTAATTAGTTTGCAGATTTTCATACAAAAGCATGGCATGGGAAAATAAATAAGAACATAGAATTCTTTTTGTATTTTCTTTAATTATGCATCCAATGTCTACAAGTTATATCCATCCATCCATTTTTGTTTGGCCTATGCAACTGTTTACACAGGTTGTTCAGAGACATAAGTTTCTATTTAGGAGGACTTGGTTTCCCCATTTGGTGCTTATTAAATTGAGATAACTTGAATCAGAATTCTTAAATAGATCCAGGTTAACATAGTAAATATCTCCAAGGATCTGATTCATCAGATGTGCCTTGTTTTAGTTCATTTGTTTAGTTCTGTGTTGGTTCCTTTTTATTCCAGGATTTTTGTTTACTACTTCACTTAAAAAAAAAATGCATCTAATAAACATTACAGAAAGACCTAATGCATTCTATAGCTGTTTCTTCCCTCGCATATTTATTAAACAAAGCTCAACCCCTTTATGTTCAGTTTAACCACTAGATGGCGAGCTTGCACAGTGGAAGAACCCAATGCTTTGGCCATCCTGTAGCACAGTCTGCATTTCATGCACATTCAAGGCAAATTGTCCAATGCCCTGTTGTTGCTGCCTCTGTCACTCTCTCCCTCCTCAGCTAATGAGATAACGCTCCTTTATTGTTGTAGTGAGGAGATGCACTCATATTGACGAAAGCCTGATACACGTGATCACCACCCTCCTCATTGTTTTGTGTTTTTTCTCTCTGTGCTCCATCTCTTCTATAGATGTTATATCCCTTATCTCTTTAGTTTCCAACTGCAATCTTCTGAGGTTCCTACACAAATTTGCATGAAGAGAGAGATGCTTTGTTCTCTCTGGAAGTGCCATCAAAACCTATGAAAAATATAAAAAAATCTTGTTAAAACAGCAATTGTGAAGGAACTCCATGCTTAACATCTCTGCATGCTTTAGATTTTTTTCAATGTTGTGCCGTGGTTTTGCTCCTTTTTATTATTTTGATGTTTATGTTTAATGGCTACATATCTGAACGATGCAAAGAAACGTGGTGTTTCAGAATAAAAGTTTTATTTTGTGTATTTATTTTCTTTATTTCTGGTTTGGATTATCTCAGAAAATCATCAGACTTAGAAAGCTGAAAAAAACATTTTTGAAAAAACGATGGCTGTTGCAGCTGTAGGTCCTTTCCCTTTTTTCAGCCAAACATCCACCTGCAGACAGCTCAGTTTTTTATGCTTAGGCTATGTGCTGTATGTCATGTGTCTGTTGCTGTGGTAACAGGAGAAGTACCAGCGTGAGCAGGAGAAACTGAAGGAGGAGTGGGAGAAAGCACAGAGGGAGGTGGTGGAGGAAGAAAGGAAGTATAATGAGGAGGTGTGTGTTTCCACTGGAGGGAACATGTTTGCCCTTTGATTTGTGAAATAATAAGAAAAAAGAGTTTGTAAAAGCGTATTGTTTTCTATGTTTATGTCAGTGTTTGGTTTGCTCTTTTCTCCCCCTCCTCAATAGGAGCGTAAGATACTGGAAGAAACTGTAATGCCTTTAACACCCCGCTCCTCAGCCCTGCCCTCCCCCAGCCGAGGGGGCCTCTCCTCCACCTCTGAGCCAGAGGACACGATTGTCCGTTCGCTGGCAGATTGGGAACGAAAACAAGAGCTACTGGAGAGGCAGTCTGTGAGTAACTTATTAATTATATTCTCTGTATTATCAATTTGTTTACCCATTTCTTCATTTGCTTTACAAAGGTACTTCACATTTTTACGTAATGGGCCAAAAGAAGGCTGTACATACAGATCCATCTCAAAAGATAGGAATATCTTTAAAAGGTTTGAAATTTTTGATTACACATTTCAGAAAGTAAAACCCATACAGTACATAGAATTATTACACATAAAGTTAAACACTTCAAGCCCTAATTTCCTGCATTTCTAGTTGTTATGACCTAGAGATAATAAAAACCCAAAGTTTATTGTTTAAAAAAATGTAAACATTATGTAAGATCACTTAAGATATGATATATAAGACAAGAAATGTCACACTTAAATTGAATGTTCATCTGTGATGGATGCAACATTTGGTTGGGCCGTGGAGACCTTGAGGATGCAGAGCAGGAGCAAGCAGAAGAATGGGGAGAAGAAAATTGAAGCCATCTTTTCCAATAATCATTATAAACAAAAGATAAGATTATTAAAAAAAAAATAAAATAGAAAACCTCCAAGCCTTAGCAAAAGCCCAGGCAGAATATTGGCCAGGCCTTGCAGTATAATGTATTTCACTGAGTTGTTGCTCCAGGATTATGTCCCAGACTCAAGTCTCTCTTTGCTAGGCAAACAGAGGTTGAAACCTAAGGGAGATGGATTGGCACTGCTACAACAGGCACTGGAAACAACAGAGGGTTTCACCCAAGACATTTTAGTTTTATTTCTGCACCCCATATAATAAACAATACGTTTTCATCCATATTATTCACCTAGTATTGTTTATACAACAGTTTATATTCCACCTTCTGCTGTTGGCAACACAGTGGGTGATGTCATTGAATCTGTTGTTGCTAAGCTGCAAATGCTAAATGCATTTGTGGCAAAAGCTGATGGTTTTAAGTGTGCCAGTGTTCCAAGAGTTGGTCAGTTGCTGTACCAGAGAAAAGGAAAACTTTGTGTTTGTCCTATGCAAAAGTCAAGGCATTGTAAATTTCTAAAGTATGTCTTCTTTTTGGAAATTAAATCAAAACATGTTTTTTCTCTGCTCACAGTATTAGCCCCTTTATAAGGGATAACCTACTTAAATTAAAGATAACTTTAGGAATATGGTCACAGGAAGCTGAACACACCCTGCAAGGTGCCTTTGAGGCTACAGGAGCTACTGGGATGAACTGTCAGCCACATGGCAAAAATATTAATGCAGTGACTGAGTGTGTCAGACTAAATAAACTTCTGTGTAGATAACACTATCCCCCAGATATGTTATAGATGCTATCCAAGCATTAAACGTGGATTTCCAGTGATCTGAATGAATTGCTTAAGAAGAAAAAAGAGCCTTCATGGAGAGAGACAGGGAATTATTGATTAGTATAAAGAAGCAACTTGAGATAAAGGTAAGAAAAAGCAAGGAGGCTTACAGAAAGAAGCTGGAGAGTGAGCTCTAGTAGAACATTATCAGAATTGTATGATCAGAAATGAAGAAGATCACAGGGCTAAGCAAAGGGTGGATCAGACAGGTGGAAGTCTGGGCAGAGTCATTGAAGTGAATACCTTCATTAGGTTCACTTCAGAAACAACCCCTGCCCACATTCAAATAGACATCCAACCCTCCTTTTACCCAAAACTTCCCTCTCACAACCCAAATGTGTCATCTTCCACCTCTGCATTAAATCCTTCTGTCTCTGTTTACTTGTATACCAAATCCAAAGATATTGCTGCTCCATCCGCCTTTCATCTGTCTCTCAATGTCAAGTGAAGAGGCTTAACGTGACCCAGAAGATATTTCCAGTAATGAGAAAGCCCCCTGCCTTGTCTCAGTACCAAAGGAAACCCAGCCAACAGTCTGATTTATGAATGACTACAGATTTGCTTCTCACATCATTTTGGTCTTAGAGAGACTGCTGTTGATCCACCTGAGTAAACAAAACAAGCAGATGTTAGGGTCCCCTGTAGTTTGCATATCACGGTTAAGCTGGAGTTGAAGATGCCATCATATTGTACGTGTGCTTTAACAAACCCACTGTCATTTGCCAGAAACTCCAAAAGACTCAGGTGGAAGCCCCAATAATCACAGTGATCAAACACGACCTGAAAAACAGACTGCAGTTTGTGAGACTGAATGGTCCATTGTCTAATCAAGTAGTCAGGAGCACAACAGAGGATAGTACTCTCCCCATTTCTTTTTACTCTGTACACCTCTAACTTCCAGTACCAGACAGAGTCATGTCATCTGCAGATATTCTCAGACGACTGCAATCATTGGGTGCATCAGGGATGGACAAGAACCTGAGTACATGGAGCTGCTGAACTTCTCTGTGCCATGGTGTGAAAACGAAATGATTTGATCTTAAATTTGAACCAATAAGGAAGATTTAGATTTCCGAAAAAGCAGGAAAAAGTCAAATGTTATTAACATCATCAGATAAGAAATCAGATAAGGAGTATAAATATGCCAGTGTTTTCCTAGACAACAGACTGTACTGGAGACAACTGTGAAGCTGTTCACAGAAGGGATAGAGCAGACTCTATGTTGAAGAAGCTTAGTCTCTTCGGTTTAGCAGCAAGATGCTGCATATCTTCTGTAAGTCTGTTGTGGAGAGTATAATACCTTCTACCATCAGAAATCACTGTTGCTGTTACTGGGGTGACAGCATCAGAGCAAATTACTTTAAAAAATCAGCAAGCGAATAAAAAGACTGGTTCCATTCTAGGAAGATTTCTGAAACTTGCGAGGATTATTTCACAACCAATGCTTCATAAAACGAAGAACAGTATGGACAACCATTAATATCCTCTTCATCAGACTTCAACTACAGAGTGTCTTTAGTCAGAGGCTTCTTCAGATAAGGTGCAAGAGAGAAAGCTAGAAAAGATGCTTTCCTACCTACAGTCGTCAACAACAACTCAAAGAAAAAAAAAAATGGATTAGTACATCTACTTTCCAGTTGGGATCAATAGAGTTTCTGAGTTGAATCCAATTTTGCATAAATTAATGCATTATTGAGGTGTGGCATGACAGTGATCACCCTGTAGTTCTAATTCAAGTACCAATTTTCTGGGACGTGCAGGTGGCACAGTGGTTAATACGGAGCCCTTAGTCCTCAACCTGGGTTCGAATCCAACCTGTGGTCCATCGCATGTCCCCCCCCCCCCTCTCGTACTCCCTTTCCTGTCAGAAAAACAAGTCACTAGTGCCATAAAAACTCAAAAAAACAAAACACTGATTTCTTTAAAAGCAGCCTTCAGATAATCTACATTGTTGTTTCTTGTGTCTTTGATCCTTCTCTTAACAACAAATTTCCTGTGGGTTCATGTCAGAGCATTTTACTGCTCAGTAAATCAGAGTGACATCAATTGGCCAGCTTTTGGTACTTTTGGCACTGTTAGTAGAGAAAAGTAGCTGCTGGAAAATAAAATCAGTGTCTACATAAAGCCTTTCAGCTCAGGAACTGGAAGGTTTTTTTACAATGTTGCAGTCGATGGCTACTTTGTGGTCTTCGGAAGTTATTCCATATTATCACTGACTTTGGAAACTTTACACTGGACTCCTTCCAAGCATCTCTTCCACAGATATTGGAACTTTGGTTTTCAAATAAAATACAAATTTTACTTTAAGATGAAATCACAGCTGTCAGTGGACTGAAATAAGGATCTACAAGGGACTGACTATGGGGGATGAATAAAATGCATGACACTTTTGGGATTAATTTTCTAATCATTTTACTTTTTGCAGTGGGACCAGAGCTAATACCACTTAGTTGCTTTTACTTATGTATATCTTGTATTAAAAATATATTTAGCTTATTGAATATAAGCAATAGACATTTTATCAGCTAATCAACTGACTGTTGCTTCATGTACAGAGAGGAAGCACTGAGAGTGCAGAGAGGAAAATGAGAGAAAACGACAGAACTAGTGACATCAGCACTGCTGACGACAGCATGAATACTGGCAGAAGGTATGTGGACAGCGCCTGAGAAGAGGAGATTTAGTTGTTTTGTTTGAAGCAGTGAAAAAGCTCACAGTAAAACTAAGATCATTGATTTGTCAAAGTTTGCTCCAATTGTCTTATAGCCAAGCTTATATGGAAGTTTTTACTTTAATTGTCAAGTATACCAAGGAATTGTTATCAAAATTTTATTTTTAGACAAGCATGTTTAAGTGATTTTTGGTCAGTATCAATGATAGTTTATTTTCTTTGAAATATTTGAAACCATTCTGAATTGTGTGGTTTTGTTTATTATGGAAATATCTGGAACCAGGCTTTGAATACAGACAGACAGAACTATGATCAATTATTAGTTGCTGTGTTTTTCTTTCTTTCATCTTCAGCATGGTGAGCCAGAGCAGCAGTCAGGCAGAAAAACTTGCTCAAAGTATTCCCAAAAGCCAAACGCTTCCTACTACATCAGCCAAATGCTCAACGCCAGATAAGAAGCAATCAGCTCCCGCTACCGATAGCACCAGACCCAGTCGGTCAGCAGGAGAGAGAAGGTTTGTAAATATTTGAGATTGGGATAAAATCACTGGTGTCTGGCTTCTGTTATTGTTATTGTCATGTAGTTTTTATATACTAATCATTTCATAATTTTCATAAACATCCTTTAGTTTTGAGAAAATGTGGCTATTCTTTTTGCTTTGCAGTCACACTTTTAAATGAGCAAATCAGGAAACGTTATTGTGATAACCACAAATGACCAGCAGGTGGCATCTGTTGCCTTCATTTTCCTCCATGGTCTCTTTCAGCAAATAAAGTTTATTTTTTTTATTATGAGAATGTTTTTGAATAACATTTTTGGTGAGTCGTTTTTCATTAAAAAAACATGTTAAGTATTTTATATTTAAAGAAAACATCACCTTGGATCTTCCAAAACTGTCCATTGTGTGTTGGGTTTGGATTGGTCATCATCTGTCTGTGCTGTCCAATCATTTTGCTGTATCTGGGAGTCATCATCATGTTGCAAGTTGCTGTTCATTTCCAGGTGCAGCCCCACTGATAATGATAAAGGACGCGGCTCATCAAAGCCCATCGCATCATGTCCATCAGAACCAGACACATTACCCCCACCGCCCAACAGGTACCGCAGCACAACAGAGCCCACAAAGAGGAGAAGAAACTGCGCAGTTCATTTCTGCATTGTCATTTTCTGCTTTACTCCCCACCCCCACCTTTATTTATCTCCACCCATCTCATAACATGTAGCACTGCAGCAGTAGCAGCCCTGCAACCTGCCTGGAATTTTAAACAGAAAAGATGAAAGGAGAGGCAAAGGTTTAGGTTTACTCTTTATTTGAAGCTAGAGGTTTCCGATAAATAAGTGTTTATCTGGACCAAAGTCACAACCTTTGTAACAGATATTCTAGCTTTTATCATTTTACCATGCTTTTACCTTCAGTTGCTTTTATTCTGCTTTTATTTTTAGTGTTTAATTTTGTACTTTTGAATTGTCCTCGTACTAAATTGTGCTATACAAATAAACTTGCCTTGCCTTAGCCTTCAAGTAACTTGAATTTTCAGGACTCACATATGATAAGGTGTCATTAACATACCAAGACAAGGAATATACTGAATAAAACGGTTATGATTTGTTCACAGGAAAATAGTTTTTTCCATGCATAGTGCAAAAAGACTACATATCAGTCTTAACTTTCTGCCTTGTGCAGGTCTGTCAGTGGGAGGAAGCTATGCTCCAGCTGCGGACAGCCTCTAGGAAAGGGAGCAGCCATGATCATAGAGACACTAAGCCTCTACTTTCACATCCACTGCTTCAAGGTTTGTACACAAGAGGTGATTCATCACATGAGGTTTAGTTATTTACCCATACAGATTCAAACCTTTCTCTTTTCTACCTACTGAAAATAATGTTAAATAAATTGTTGTACTGAAGAAAATCTTGCTTTTTTCCTGTGCCTTATAGACGTTTGTGTTTTTTTGTTTGTTTGTTTTTTTCATTTAGGACATTACAACATGAAATCTTTTTTGTTATTTTAGGTGGGTTTTATGAGACAGACCAACACAATTTTATTTTTCTTCTTTTTTATAGATTCTTTTTCAAAAACGTTGGTATCTCTTACAGTTAAGTGCTGCAGAGATCCACAGCTCAGGTGGGGAAGCCTGGTGACACAACTGCTAGTCATGAACTGACATTTACCAAAGAGTGGTGGAAAAGACCTCCCTAAAAATAGCTAAAAGAAATATTATATTAATTTTTCTTCAAGCAAAATGAGGGAGATGGAAAGCAAGAAGATACTTTGGTCAGATGTGAACAAAACAAAACTGATCCAGAAATTAACTCCACTGGTGGAGAAGGTGGATTGAACCACTACATCAAAAGACATAGGTCTAAACCTTTCCTGGTTTAGGTTATTGAAATCATTTTTACTGAATAAACAATTGAAATATTAAGAAATTAGCTCAAATATGTATAGTGTTCTGTAGCCTTTTAAGCCAAATGACCTGGGTCAATTTTTGTGAGATTCTTATCACAAGCTTTAACTTCCTGGCTAATGCCTGCACATTCCCCAAATGATACTTCTTCCTCATTGTGCAGTGATTTTTTGACTAATTCCTCCTGCAGCCATACATTCAACAACAAAGGGCCACTGTTGCTCATAACATGTTGGATTTTCTTCTCAGGCATCCAAGCCTCCCTCTTTAACCTCCAAATTAAGCAGCAGCCATGATGGTCAAACATTTTCTTTCATCGTACCGAAATCTATCCTAGCTTTAAAATCTTGCCCCAGACTGCATTAGCAAGATTTAAAAATCTTCAGAATGTATTCCTTTTGTTCTGGGATTGAGACTCCGCTCACAGCTAAACCTGGTCATTGCTGGGACACTGAATGTGTCTCCCTCCCAAATAGTTGAATTACTCCACATTTCCATTGTATTCATACTTACACGCTTGAGAGAATCAGTGTAGCACCTGCAAACTACACTCCTTCACCTTTATCTTGAAATTATAACAACCTGATTTTTTTTCTTTCAAAGTTTATATTGTTATGCTAGGTTATTATAAATGAGTAGTTGCTTTACAATGCATTCAAAATAACAAAAAAATTAAGAAAAAAACATCCATGGATGTCCCCATTTAACTCTCAATATCTTTTTAATTACCCTTTTAATACAGATCCAAACGTTCATTTTTCTTTTTATACAATGTGGGTAAATATTGTAGTATAAATGTAAAGATGTCTTTTAAGAAAACAGAATGTGTTACAGAGCTGATATAGAGTTTTTCCCTTCTGGTTCTTCTGTTCTTTAGACAAGTAATCTGCTTCAAACACATTAACTGAGGTTACGCTGAAGGAGCATCAATGGCCTAAATCAAAACACTGATCCTGTTTATGTATCTTGTGGTATTATTCAATGGATAAAATATATTTCCTGTCTTCTCCTCACCTGTCTCTTTGTTAGTGCGGGGTGTGTAAAGGACAGTTAGGCGACACAACCACAGGGACAGATGTCCGGATAAGAAATGGCCTCCTCAACTGCAACCAATGCTACATCCGTTCCCGATGTAAGTTTTCCATAGAGATTCCTGTCTCCATTTTAACCAATTGCTTGTAACTTTTTTTCTAATTTAACATTTCTGATTTTAGGCATCTATTTATCCATACATAATTGTATACAAATCAGCAATATTAATGAACGTATGTGGATTTTGTCACCCCTATATGTTGCCGCAACTAATATTAGCAAATATTATGATAAAAAAAAAAGGATATACACTGTCTACTTGTGTACATATTTAAAATCTGGTCATAGATTTTGTTTTTTTTTCCCTATTTCTTTCTAAAATGTTAAGATTACAACATTCTTTGAGTGTTTTCGATGTGTGACGTGTGATTTATAAAAAAAAATGCAAAATCAAATCTGCACAATATGCCCTTTAATAAACAAGTCAGACCCCATGAGGCATCACAAGGAAATAAAATAATGGACAATAAAATTGAAAGCCTTTTGTTCGAAATTTCACACTCTTATTCATTCTATTTTATTTTATTTTTGTCTTTTCTCTAAAGCCGCTGGACAGCCGACCACATTGTGATGCAGTGAAAAAAAGCACAAGGTTTGCAGAAGAAAGCCTCATCCTCGTTTTAACCAGATTAGCCACCAATCACGTCCTCCGCAGCCTGTTGGGATGTATGCTTCCACCGCAGCTCTGTGACCACTGAAGATCTATCATTTGGGCCAAATAGGGATCAGGGGACTGATAAATGTTTAAATCAAAAACATATATTCTCTGTGTTCATGTCATCTGCTACATGAGTGAAGTCTGAATTCTATTGGGCCTCATCCATCCACAAAGCGTGCTTCATTGTGCAGCGAGTTTGTTCTAAGGCGGCAGCCATGTTGAAAAGACAACACATAGAGCTCACCAACACAGTGCTTCAGACCACTTTACATACTGGAAAAAATAGTATTAATTTTTCTTATTACAGATGAGATAAAAAAGACGTGATGCAATTAATTACAGTTTAAAGATTTATGTTGGTTTGTTTTTCATGTTATTTTTTTTTTAAATATGGAAGTTAATACAAAGTATTTCCCCTTCAGGTAAATAACACAGTAAAATGTAAATACACAATTGGGAAACTGTAATAAAGTAAAAAAAAAAAAAAAAACATATTTAGGAATTCAAATACATATAAAAATTTATTTTTAAAAGAGCTTTTCTATGGAGAATGAGATTAGGTTCAAATTAAAAATGAGAACAGATTCAGGCTGATATTGAAGGCAATAACAAAGTTGTGAGCTTGTTTTGAGCTGTTGGTTGCAGCAGATGGTTTTATTCAGTCTGTCTTGTTTAGCCAACACTGTAATGTGCCTTAGGACAGTGAAAGGATGCAGGAAAAAAAGCGTCAGATGAGTGCTTCTTATTTCCCCACTATTTTCAATTTTCGCTAAGAGTGATTTGGTCAGAATAAAACTAGGAAAGGTGAGAAAGTTCAACTACATTATTTTATCATCTCCTTAATCATTACTGTTTATTTTCTTTTAATTATACAGTACTTGATATCATAATTTCTGTTTGATCGCCTTGTTTTCTGTAATTGTAAATGATCAAATAAAAAAAGCAAAATAAAAACCATGTGTACTCCACATGACAGGGCGAATAAGGGTTCAGTTTTGAATGTTTTTGATATTGAATGTGTGAGAATCAGACTTGTTTTGATAATTTCTCAGCTGTACCGTTCATTTATGCACCTGAAAAAAAGTTGAAACTGAAACATCTGTAGTATCTGAAACATCTGTTGTCAGCAGAGGTAATATGAATACATACCAGCAGAAGCTTCACTTGTGCAATGTTCAGTTGGTTTAAACTCCTGCCACCTCCAAATTTAAGACTTGTTAAGAGCTTCCTAATTTGTTTTGGGTATGTTGAAAAAAATGCATGTTTAAAACCAAATGATTTGCTGTATGAATGCAAACCGGCCTATATCTCCTTGTGCTTAAACTGGCTTCACCTCTGGAGTCATCTCTCACTTTCTCTGAACCGCAGTATTTTTAAGATTTTTTTTCCGACTGTATTTTTTTTTTCTATTTTTAGCACTTATTTAGCTAATGTGTAAAATCCATGTTGACTCTTTTATAGCAGGAACTATGAGTCCAAGCTCTTGTCCCAGAGCGTTTTAATAGGACAATAGGGGAATGGAAACCTTTTTGCATCTGTACTGTATTTATTGTATAATAGCCTATTCAGCTTGAACGTTATTCAGAATATAGTTTCATTTGATGTTTTAATGCAATAGCATTTATTATTACATCACTGTATGTTTATAAATAAATATAAATGGACATAAAAATGTTTCTTTATTGTAATACGAGTGGCTGATTTCTGGAAGTTTTTGTGAACTTGTGGATAAATCGTTGTCAGCTCATATTTACCATAAAAGAGTCAGAATTCAAGCATTCAGTTTTTTTTTAAAAAGACAGATTTTTTCCTCATTACTATGTTTTGTTTGATGCTAGGTAGCAGAAACTCCTTATTGATTTGGTCAAAAAAAAAAGAATGATGTCTTAATAAATAATGAAATGTTGGTTTAGGCTTGAGAATTAGGCAACACTGGAAAAGATGAAGTAATGTTTATCCGTCTATATCATAACCAACATGAGGTTAAAATACCTTGTAACATTGAAACGGCTGTATTTCTTTTTTCTTCTTTTTTTTATGTAATTAGATATTTATTTGTACAAACCGACCATTTTTTATACCTAAACTAAAATTATGATCAGGTAATATTTTGTTAACGTCTAATGTAGGTTTAGCTTTTTTTTTTTTTTTTTTAAAAAGGTAAACTTGTTTTATATGTTAATGTAGGCCTAATCCGAGATCATTAATATAGCTGTAAAAGCACGGTGAAAGGTTTGAAATAACACTCCCTCGTCATATCTCTTTATTTGTGTTTCGATGTTTTTCTGGTTCTTTTTATGTTTTATGCAAGCAATCCTTGTTCTTTTGTGTGTGTGTGTGTGTGTGTGTGTGTGTGTGTGTGTGTGTGTGTGTGTGTGTGTGTGTGTGTGTGTGTGTGTGTGTGTGTGTGTGTGTGTGTGTGTGTGTGTGTGTGTGTGTGTGTGTGTGTGTGTTTTTTTCTTCCTATATTCAATATAGGTTGCCATTTGCAAATTACCAACAATGTATTTGGTACCTGAAAACAGAATATGATCAATAATAAGACTTTTTATTTACATCACTTTTCTTACTGATTAATTTTTCCATATGTTAAAAATTAACTAAACAAGATCGGTATTTAGTTTAGTTAAATGGAACCACGACCATTTTTTTCGTTTATTGTTTTTGTTTTTTTGTTTGTTTGTTTGGACAAGTGGATGTTCTTAAAGAAAGAATTATGAATTATATTTGACTTGTATTATCAATAAAGCGCACTGGAGCTGTCCTTGGTGCTGGAACTGTTGGCCCTTTTAAACGACCACCGTGAGATTTCCGTAGAGGCCTAATTTATTTTTATAAAGTAGACATAACGTTTTCTGTTATTACTTCTCAAACCACGTTGAAGAAATGACAAAACAAGCTCGGACTATTATTTTTTTTTTTATCATCAACAATCATTTCAATGGTACACCTTGAAAACTATGTGCACATGTAGAAATATTTCCTTTCTTAAATATAAGCATTCGTTACCTACATATAAATAACTTTCAGATCCTGGACAAAAACGTGTTACATAATGCTCACAAAATGGGAGAAAAATCATTTGAAAATCAGACAAAAAGACAACATGCAAATTATATAGAAATAAATACAATGTCTGCATCCACCCCACCCCCTTTTTTTATTACCCAAAATAAATTCTTCCGAGGGAATTTTAGTAAAACATCAAAAAGACTTGTATGGGCGATCTACAAGGAAATATGGCCTATGGTTCAACTATAAGAGACAAGAATACGTATTAACACTATACAATTGAGCCACAAAAACACTGCCGTAGAAAGACACACAAAACATACAGATTTCCTGTCTGAGGTGAACATTGCAGTAGTTTGTGCCTTTTTTAATATCGAGGAAATAAGTGTGTTTATAGCGACAATTTAAAGAAACTAAACTCTCTGCAGCCTTAATGAAAAAAGAAAACGCAGCGTCCACACAGTAGGCTGTGTATAGAGAGAACAAAAAAGCGCTTCGGTAGATGGTTGTGTCAAAGCATCCTCAGTCATGGATTTCAGGCGCCTCTGTGCCCAACAAAAGCAGCTGTTGAACTCTGACTCTGAATGTGATTTAACGAGGCTCTCTCTTGCGCACTGAAGACACGGCGCGTTTCCAGTGCGCCAACCTTCACCTTTCATCCTTATGATGTCAAAAATATACATCTGAACAAGTCATTTACTCATTTTTTTCTGTCTAAAGCTAAATTAAGGTGAGGTATGATGTCTTATTATATTAAATGAGTGAATATTGCCTCGTTCGCTGCTTATTTAAGATAATTATCTGCGAGACTTGATCAGGCGAGGATGGCAACAATTCACCCATCCCAGTTTGCTCTCCACCTCATTCTGTGTGAAACTGTGACTTGTCAAGATGAATATTTTACAGGAAAATTGGTGACCACAAGGAAAAGCGCGAGGTAAAAATGAAATAATCATATTCATCTGTTTTTCTAACTGCTTTTTTATTGTCCTCCAGTCTGTATCGGGCGATTGCTTTTCAGTCTCCAGAGAACTCAACTTTTCTAAGCCTCATTAGAACATGCTGGTCTTTACTAATGTCGCTTTAGCTCCGTTTTGTCTTTGCAAAGAGGACAGTACGCTGGCGAAGGGCCCGCCCAACGAGTCCGGAATGGATGTGATGGTTCCGGGCGCGGTAGCCCAGCCTTGGCTTGGCGCCGTCACTCCCATGCCGGATGACACGGAGGTCTTCACTTGGTCCACCTGTCCGTTCCCGGTGGTGTTGACCTGACCGGCGGTGGGGCTTGGTCCTCCGCAGTTTGAAGTAGGAACCGGGTTCGGTCCCGGCCCTCCCGTGCTGTCTGGGTCGGTAGTTTTGGTGTCTTTGCTGTCTTCGTCTCTAGAATCGGACTTCTTTCCAGAACTGGACTTGGCGGCCGCTGCTGCTGCGGCAGCTGCTCGCTCTTGCTTGCGGAATTTGGCGCGACGGTTTTGGAACCACACCTGGGGGGGAAAAAATCGTTCAAAAAATGTAAGCGCAAATAAACTAATATATTTGTTTTATACAATACAATAGACATAGAGAATATATGTAGGAAATGATGCGATCTTTAGTGTCAAATCCAGTGAAGTAAAGCTTTAAAACATTCATCTAATCTTGTGATTTAAAAAAAATATTTCATGAATCTTGATTTTAGTCCAAATCCACTGGTGCGTAATTGTGCGTAAAGGCACCAGCCACCGATGGATGCCTGTTGAGCAGCGAGTTTGGTTTATACCTGCACTCTCGCTTCGGTCAGATCGATCTTAAGTGCCAGTTCTTCTCTGGTGTAGATATCGGGGTAGTGAGTCTCTGCAAAAACCCGCTCCAGCTCCTTCAGCTGCGCGCTGGTGAACGTAGTCCGGATGCGCCTCTGCTTCCTTTTTTCGTTCAGCCCTCCATGATCGGTAAAGAGTTTGTAGGGAACTGTAAACCAAAGGGAAATGTCAAGGTCATACGTGTTGAATTCGGTCAGTAAAAAAAAGGATGTAGTTGTGTTCAAGTACGATACAGATAAATGGTAATAATACAAATGTAGTTGTTTGGTGTAAAATCCGGTTATGCACGCTGAGTTGGGGCTTCCTGTTAAATCCTGCATTTGATTACCTTTAAATTAGATCAGAACTGATAACACTGTTGACCTGTGAAGCGGTTAATTGTAAAATTAATTGTTGCTCCTCAGATTGAGGCTCCTCTTTGAAAACTTGTCATAATGTTGCCATCCGCCCTGCTTGTTGCTACTGTAACTCCAATTTCGTGTCAATAATGAGCTTTAGTCTTTGGTTATCTAATTATTTTCGAAGCTTTATGTCTCATCGCAAAGTAAATAAATTATGCCTATCATTTTGGCAGCTTAAGATAATTCTGTTGGCGGTTTTGGGTGTGACTGGGATAGTATAACCCCATAACCGAATTACCTCTTGCCTGCAATCGCTTCTAACGTGATAAATTCTTTCATTTGTGTAAGCAAATTTCGTTTGGTAAATACTAAACACATTTCCATTTTCAAATGCAATCAAGGCATCCTATAATACACCGGGTTGAGGCTCCGGAGCTCGCTGCTGCTTACCTGCGGCGTACGGGCTGCTCTGGTGATCCCGCAGGGTCCCCAGACTGCAGGACCCCGGCGTTAGGGAAGGACAGCCGGAGGTGGCCCCGAAAGTGGTCCTGATGGGATTGTACTGGAAGCCACTGGTTTGACTGCACGAACTGAAGTCCGCGTAGGCCGATGCCAAGCTCGACGTGTCCATCCCGGCCATACATGACTCGTAGGCAGAGGAATTTAGGTAAGAATACTCCATTTTATACATTTGAAAAGGCTAGGTTGAGATTGAAAGCTGCACTCCCCTGGAAAAAAAAATGAAACAGAAGCACCCAAAAAATGGGTTTGGAAAAAAAAAAACAAATAAAAATCAAGCTGAGGAAAACGCGCGGTTGAGTTTGATGACTTGTTTGGTTTGGACTGGTTGGAAGAGGGCTGGACGGTGAGAAGATGTTCACTGCTCAGCGCCTGCTCCAAAACTGGCCTCCTTTATAGGAACCTAGCCCTGTTTTATGAAAAGCCCCCTAAGAGCCGCCTAGCCCGAGGTCTCTAGAGCATATAGTCCTCATAATAAACTTGGCTCTTTCCGCTTGGACAATAGCAAAGCGTTTGGTCTTATTGCTAGCGCTTTTTTACATGACAATAACTCATCAGTCTATTGGGCTGGCACTGGGGGCCCGGGCTGTCCAACCTCCCTATCATTGATCCCCTGCATCTCTAATTAGAATTTAATACCACGCCATTACGCAGCCCTCCACCACCACCGCCGCCGCCCACCCCCTCCACCCATCCACCCCACTCCTCTCCAACCAACATCTTGCCCTTTAATTCAATCACACCACTTGGAAATAATGAAAGTTGGGTGACGATTCTCCCTGATCCAATTTTCTCCAAGCTTTTAAGCCTTTTAAGCGACCGTATACCTTGGGCAGGATTTCACAGAGTATTCCCACTCTGCCTCTCCTTTCTGTCCGTATGCTCCGACATTTTTTTCCTGCTCTCTCTGCCTCTGATCTTCTGCAGTGAAGCGGTAAAACATGTCAATTTCTATCCAGTAAAATGACCTATTTTTACGCACAAGTATCCGTTTCAAGTGCACTTGATAATAATGCAATAATTGTGCAAAAAGAAAAAAAAAGCCACTCTAACAAGCAGATAGGCACTAGTGTATTTTCTCATGTTGTCTCATTTATTTTTGTCTACTTTGAGAATCTGACTGTTACTCTAAAATTGCAGTTTATTGGTTGGTATCAAGTCACAAGCCCCAAATAATAAATTCCTTCGTAATAAAATAAAAAAAAGCGGATCCAACTTTATTTTGTTATTCTCCATCAATCACTAGGTAAAATTCATTTACAGAATTTACAGTATATGAAATAAACATATTCCCCCATTATATTTATTAACCTATATGCCACATTTGCCAACACTACTGGGGCATCAAATCATGTGAAACATCCGGGTGTGTGTTTTTATGATTCAAATGACTTTATAATTCTCTTTATTACTTTCATTATTTCGTTTATTTGGCAAATAACATCTTTCTAATGAAAGTAACGAACTGGCGCGGCAGTCATCGGACCTCTCAGGCTCCCAATATTGGCTGAGTGGTTAATTCGGTTTGCGTAATAAGGTGAACCGTTTTCTATGGCACTTACACACAGACTGTGTTTCTTACTTTCCTTTTGGGTTTTTTTTTTGTTCATGAGATCGAGTTCAAGTCTTTTTCATCGAGGCTCTGTGTCTTTACTCCAAATTATTGGCGCATAAAAAGGCGCAACAGTAATTATAGTAGATCAATCTAATTTAGCAAATGATTGTTTGGTGCCTAAACGCGTTTATCTCGTCATGTGAAGTGATTGGAATATCACTATAATATTGTTATAATAATCCCACAGGGAGAGATAGGTTGTATTTTTTTTTTTTTTTTTTGGCACCAGCAGCAGCTGAGTTTGGTGTCAGATTGGACAGTGGATATTAAACGCGTTTGTCTCACAGCCTGTTCATTTTTACAGGATTGTTATAGATTATTTTATTTTCTGAAGCGCCGCAGATTTAGTTTTATCCGAGTTTATCACAGTATTGATCTTTTGGTTTTTTAATTTCTTTATCATCAAAAGAAAAAAAAAAAAAAAAAAAAAAAAAATATATATATATATATATATATATATATATATATATATATATATATATATATATATATATATATATATATATATATATATATATATATATATATATATATATATATATATATATATATATATATATATATATATATTATTATTATTTCTTTTTTTTTTACAAGACTGTGTTTAATATATATTTACAAACATGTAAAAAAAAAGACAAATACATGACGTATTTTTTTTAGAAGATAGAATGTTAAGCTTTTATTAGAAGAAAATTAGATGCCCTCATATCAACACATTTTGGCTCCTTTTATACATTAATGTTCCACCAGTTGTTTGTGTCTCCCTAACTGTTGCCACCTTGCAGTATGTTCTTTTTGTATTCTTTACTGACACAACCCCGTCCCTGTTATGCAAATGATTTCTTTTTTATCTTCTTATTCCTTCTGCACACGAGCTGGGTCCCAAAAGTTGTACCAAATGGTTAATTTGATTATTGAAACCAAAGAGCCAAATGGTTCACCGTCCTCCCTCCACGCGTCTGGCAGCGAGAAAAGAACCCATCTCTGGGAATTAATCTAATAACGCTCAAAGAAACGCGAAGTCTTTTCTGATATTTCGCCGAGGCAAATACAATTATAGCTTTTAGCCTTCGGTTTCTTTCACAGAGGCCGCTCTTTATTCCTGCGTTCTATAGCCTGTTCCCCTCCACCAGAGTCCACCAGCTATTGAAGCGCCCCTTCTTTTATAGTTTTAACATCTTTTAATTCTGTCAACTGGTTCTGGTGAGAAGAAAGGCCGCAGACTCCCTTCTAGTGTCGGGATATTGAATTAAATATCTCGTACGCTGAGTTTATTTAGGCGATTTCAATGCATTTAGTAAAATGCAAAGTGCAGATTTAATCCAGGTGCGCGTTGCGCATAAAATATGCTGACTTGGACGTTGCTTGCTGTGATTTACAGTAACATAATAGCCATTTAAATCAAATAAAACGCTAATTAAATCGTAATCACCTGGCTTTAACCATATAGCTTTACTTAAATAAATCAAGAAAATGCGATGTGTGCAAGACCCTAAATTCCCTTGGCAAGTGCCGAACAATAGTCGGGATGCGCAAGGAACTCCTCTCCATTTAGTGCGCACTATCGTTGCTCAGCAATATAGGAATGCGGGTCGACAGGAGGAACAAAAAGAAGAACAAAATGCCATTGTCTGCGGATGGATTGGATGGATCCACTCCCCCGAAAAGGCAAAAGAACAGAAGAGGATAAAGAGAGGGAGAGAGATGGGAGGGTCCTGCTGTCACATTTCACCTACAACGTCTCACTCCTTCGCCCGAGGAAATGCTGGGCTTATCAAAGCAGTTATTAATAAGGCCGCGTGTTGCAGAGGAGGGGCTCAGGGGCAAATAAAAAATTCATTTTGGGGATGCTCTCATGGCGATTTAGTGTGATGTCTCAATTCGACGAAAAATATTCGGCATCAAGGAAAAAACCCGAAATAAAACTCTTGGAAATGGGCATCAGGATCCTCAGAGATTATTCTGAATTTGAATAATGTCCATCAAGGAAAGTTAGAACATTCTTTCACATATTTTATCTGATGAGATTATTTTATGTTGACGCATTTTCTAATATGAGTGGAAGAACCTCTAACGTCTTCCAAGTTGGTAGGTGGAACACTCATCGCGTTTCCAAGTGCACAGATGGAAAGTGACATCTGGAGAAGGGAGTAAATTAAATTAGGAACTGGTGTCTTCCACCAGTGTCTACAGAGGAGGAAAGAAAATGTGCAACACAAAGGAAGTGATGGGTTTACTGCCCTAACTGGTTTTGTTTTGTGCATCCTCATTCATACTGGTGTGTAGTCAATGCATGCGTTTTTATCCGCAGAATCTTCATTTTGCCGTAAACTGTTGCTTTGGTGACGTCGAAGAGTGCTGCAAATTAACCTTTTGTTCCTTTGAAACCCACTTTCAAAAGACCAAAACAAATATAATTCTTGTGCATCAATTAATGTATTAAACGTACATTAATTGATGTAAAATATGAGATAGTATTAAAAATACTTCAGTTTTTGTATTAATTGATCTCATATTCATTACATACTGGATAAGATGAAGATAGATGGATAAGATGCTATGATCTAGATGTTCAGTGACAGGCTGTGTGTCATTTATGTGTTGGCCATTTGGCAATTATAAATTGGAGTAAAAAAAAGTCCAGTTGCGGTGTTCCTCAAGGCTCCATTCTCAGACCTCTTATATTTGTATCAATTTCAGTTCTATTCATAAAACATGAATATAATACAAATACCGTCTCAAAAAGGCACTTTGCAAGACAGATCGATCACATACTAGAAGCAACACAATACAAAGATGTAGAGAGATTTAAATGTATTTCCATATGTTCCAGTTTTACTCTAGTTTCACTACAATTAAATTTCATTCATAAAGTAAATTCGTGTAACAGTTTTATCTGTCTAAGAATGTCCATGGTCTACCCAATCCGATAAAGTCACTCACTTTGCAGCAGTGAAAAGGAGGCAGATTTTAACTTGTGTTCTACTCAGGTTTGCAACTAAATCCCTAAAACCTGAGATGTTCAAAAACTATTGGCTCTTTTAAATTTGCACGAATGCCACATGAATTTATATCCAGGTTTATTTCAGGGTAATCCTTAAATTCTAATATTATGTTTCTTTATGTTTATATTTCAATTGCATTTTTGCATTTTACATCTCATTATTGATTTGATACCTATGCCTTACTGTTTTTCTTTGCTGGAGGCTAATTTTCCTAATACTTCCTTTATTTCCCTCTCAAGCACTTAATTTATTTTTAATAAGATAGGTGCTTTACAAAATATGTTGCAATGTCTTTTGAGGTCTTATATATTCATTCACACACTGCATGGTTTGTAGAACTGATGTACTCTTATCCTGCATTAATGCATGTCGTTGTCTTCCAGATGTGGCAGCCAGTTCTTGGGGAGCTTGGCTTGTCTCTTCTGGCTTCATCGGCCTCTCCGAGCCTTTATCAGCCCTTCCCGAGTGACCAAGAGACCAGCCAGCGGATTAACATAAAAATCTTATTCCCAGGGATAAGATTAGGAAACATATTACCCTCTAACGTGGCCTTGGCACGAGCGAGAGCCAGGCAAGGAATCAATTACTAAATTACTCCAACCTCTAAGTCGACATTAACGCAGAGAAATGCCATCGACCGCTTCTGAAATAAGATTTCACTAAGATGCGATCATTAAATCTCTTGCCAGTGTTCAAGAATTTGATTCATAAAATTGTCTGAAATGAGATGGAATTAAATTCTTATCGGGGCTCTTGTCATCGTTTCATCCCGTGCTGTTTAACGGTGGTCAATGGCCTTCATGAGATTTTCCCTGTAAATAAACTTAGTAATCGAATCCGCCTCTCCGCGACACATTGTTTGGTTGTTATTAATTTATTGCAGCCATGCAGGGCAGTGGGGTGGAGAGATGCAAGGCCATGAGGCTGC